GAGTTAGAGGATGTTATGGCTCGTGTCTTGATGCGCCCCCCCCCAAAGCTTAATGCAGTCATAGGAGGGGCTTTTTCAGAGGTGGGTGATCTAGAGTATTTGATGCTGGGATTGATTTATGGTGCAATGCTAGGACCAAGGGCACTAGGATTAAGAGTGTGAGTGCTGCCCACCCTAAGTATGCTGGATAGATATAAGGGATAGAAAGAGCTAGGGCCATCCCCCTTGCTTACTTGCTACCTTCTGCCCACCATGAACTGTTTCTCCTCTACAATGCCTGTCTGCTATGCCATCCTGCCTTGGAACCTTGTGGACTGAAACCTTTACAAACTGTGAGCTGAGCTAAATAAAACTAACTTTGAGTGTTGGCTATTTTGCCTCAGCAACAAGAGAAAAGTAACTAAGACAGAGAGGATGGAAAAAGTGACTGAGCGGAGGAAAGTTCTCACTACTAGACATAGCATGCCACAAGAAAGAGTCTCTCCATGAGCCAGAGCCATGTTCAGCCAACAATGGGTCAGGATGGTCTTGTCAGGTGGAGCTGGGTGTCAGAAAGTGGTCTGAGCTCAGGGACCAGTTGCAGAGAGTGGGGTAGAGCTCAAGTCTTCACCCCTCCCTGCATGGGCTGGGCCATTCTGTGCAGGGGCTGGTGCTGACATCCTTGGTGCCTTCTGAAGTTTGTGCACACAGTAGCTAATTAACACATGTCGAATGAATCAATACAGTGCACTGTTTTCATTGTATATTTCCCATCGAGAAAATTTACAATTCCTTCTAGACATCTTTTATACCAAATTAAAGCTTTAAACTAAAGCCCTCTGCTTACTTGCACCCTTTCCCTTAATGTAATTTTGGCCCTTTCCTCTCTATACTTGAGACCGTGGGCTTTTCCCCTGCTGCCAAGAGTACTGAAAGTTCCTGTCTGGGCCAGAAAGAAAGGCAGGGACTCATAGGCCTGGGTTTCAATCAAAAAGGGGAAGTAAAATGATCCTGGAATAGACTTGAAGCCAGAAGCAGTTGGTCGAAGTTTCCATACATGCCTGTATCTGGCAGAATGTTGATCAGCACCACCCCTCCATGGCAATGCCTTCCATGGGGGCTGGTGCTCACTGCTGAGTTTCCAGTCCTCCTACACCCTCTGTGAGCACCATGTGGCTCCTCCATTGCTGTTTTGATGTCCCATGGTCTCAACTGCAGCTACTTATAAGGTCACCCCATTTCCTGGGGAAAATTATATCCGCCCCCCAAAGGCCACAGCAAGATTTTCAGATCTACATACTCCTTCAGGACCTTGAAGGTTCTTCTTCCATAGTCAGATCTAATTTCCCCTCCCCAGAATACGGGTGAGGCTTTGTAACTACCTCTGTGAATGAAAATCAGCTGCTAGACATGTGCGAAGAGTCCAGTTAAATGATTCCAATCCCCAGCCTCTGATGTCCCAGTCGAGACTGAGTAGAGCAAAAGTATTGTCTTCAAGCCCAGACCATACTTCAGATGTGTGAGAAAGAATAACTGTTGCTGTGTTAAGCCATCAGAGAAATTTGTTACATACAATAGTGACAGAGACACCATCTTTATGGTATCATGAGGTTCTCACCTTGCTTCTTGTGAGACTGGTTTCTCTTCAATAGCAGTTGCTGAGCAGAATTAGAGAATGGTCCCTATTCCAACCAATGTCAAAATTCCTTAACATACAAAACACAAAATACAGAGGAGTTAACTCACAAACTTTAAGCTTTTAATTCACAATTTGAAGGCTTGTAGCTTCTTACAATGGCTCTGATGATTAGGTCTTCTATTCATCCAACTCTAGTTTGTTACAATTATTCTGCCCACAAAATTTAGTACAAGACCCCTGTGACTGTGCTGGGTGACATCAATTCAAGTGACAACTTAACAGGATTGCTGTCAAATGAATGCTGTGGATGGAGCTGGTGTACCCAAACTCTGTCCCTCCAGGTTAAGTTGCTTCCCTGACCTGAAACATCATACAAGAGTCCAAAGTTTGTTTGGTTGGCTCTAATGTAGATGCGTCCCGCCTCTCTCCCAGAACTTTCTGGACTGACAAGCATATTAGAGTTGTGGAAGCTCTGAGATTTGCAGTCATAGAAAGCATGTGGCATTTCAGCTCTTCCCGAGATTCTGAACCCCAAAGAAAGTGCTGAACAGATCAGAACGGAGGATATTGTGCCAGCAGAACCTACCTCCCTTCCAGGTTGGCACCGATCCATCCATTAACCAATAGCATGTTTAACCACAATTAGTGAGGCGTGAATCTGACCAGGTGCCTCCATTTTGAACCCAGGGATGGAATGAGATCCATTTTCAAACACCTTGCTTGAAATCTTGTTCATCACACATTCTTGTTCATCACACATTCTTGAGCTTTTAGTTTAATAATTAGATCTAGCTTGAAGAACAGGCAGGTTCAAGTACATGATTTGTTTCTAATTAGCATCACAATGGTCTCCACAACGGTTATTAATTCTCAGGAGTCATATTTTTGTTTGTTTGTTTGTTTGTTTGTTTTGGTACCGGGGATCGAACTCGGGGCCTTGAGCTGGCGAGGCAGGCGGTGGAATCACTGAGCTAAATCCGCGGCCCGCCATCTTTTGCTTTTAATTGATTTTTTTTTTTTGGTGGGGGTACCGGGGATCAAACTCAAGACCTTGTGCTTGTGAGGCTGGCACCGTGCCACTGATCTAAATCCCGTTATTTTTATTTTTGGCAAAATCGAGCTCCATACCAAAACACAGCCCAGGGGGAGCCTAATCTGCCTTCTAGAATTAAGAGATTCTAAGGAGGGGCAGTCAAGGTGGATTATTTATTTGAGTTTTCGTTGAAAATTATCATCATGTGATCTACTTCCTAGCTTGACTTAGCAGCAATAACCAGAAAATGACTTTGAAAAGTCTGGAGCCCCAGGGTTGCTTTTACAGCCCTCGCACTGTTATTTTAGCGCCATCTGGAGATAAACATTGTTTATTGCAGGTGGGAGGAAATAGAGGAAAAAAAAAGTTAAAAATAAACTTCCCAAACCTCAATAACGTAGAGATACTAACTTGCTCCTTTTGCTAGTCTGTCCCAAGAGACGTATTACAGCTATAAATGTTTAATTATTCAACAATTCTATTAAACAGATACTATTATTGAGAGCATTTTATTGACGGAGAAATTCAAGTACAGTAAGTGGTAGAACTGGAATTTGAATATGTCTGATTCTAGAACATATACATATTAACCACTATGGTGGACAAAACTTCCCATTTTGCTTCTGTATTTTGTTGTGGGTTTTTTATGTTGTTGGTTTTTTTCTTTTTCTTTTTCCTTTTCTTTTTTTTTTTTTGGTACCAGGGATAGAACTTGGGAACTTGCACTTGCAAGGCAGGTGGCAGAACCACTGAGCTAAATCCCCAGCCGTGTATTCTGTCAGAATAAATGACGTTTGAAATATCAAGGGTAGAATGAATATCAGCAAGAGGAAATCGTAGACCAAGAGGGAAGATCTGATTGAGTATAAGGAACGCATTAACACTGAAGAAAATCATGTTTTCTGGACTGGACACAAACTCAGGGCGCTGGGAGGAAACAGGAGTTGTAAACACACCTGTGGTGTTGAGGCATTGGAGGAGATGGGCAGTTTCCTCAGAGGTAAGACGGGACGCCAAGGTGGCCATCATTTTTAAGCACCTAGATGTGAAAGTGCTGATCCCTAGGACCCAACTTGGGTTCCCTAAGAATAAGCAGTGTCAGATTTGCCTTATTTCCCGACAGGTTGTTATATAACTGGATCTCAACAAGGCCTCTCAGTGTACCGTTGTGGACATGATAGAGAAATATGGCTAGAAGCTAAATTAGTTATTTTCATAGAGGCTGATAGGTTCTTACCCTGTTCTCATGATAGTGAACCTGAAAAGAGCATTTTAGGAGAAAAATTCACAAGTTGGCTTCAATTCTTGAGCAGCACTGTCATTTATCATTTGGATAAGAATCTATGTCTTAGCCAGTACGGTTACAGATTGTAAGTGGAGGAGTACGGACAAAATATTGGCTGAGGGAATCGAAGGGATCTTAAACATTTAACAGTCTGGACCACCGGGCTGGCTCAAATGAGGGGTAGCTGAACAGGAATGGACATCAGGCCCTTCCAAAGTACCAGCCACCTGCCTCTGAGCTGAGGAGTGACCTGGATAGCTGGGTGAGGCTCACTGGCGTAGTGCTATCAACAAAAGTATAACACAAACTATATATGTAACTTAACATTGTAGCAGCCACATTTCAAACACCAAAAAATAAAAACCTTGAGTGAATTTTAGAATGCACATTTGTTTGGTTTTGCAGTGCTAGGGATTAAACTCAGGGATTTGACACATGCTAGGTGATGTTCTACCAATGAGCTACATCCCTGGACCTTTTTATTTTAAGACAGGGTCTCACTAAGTTGCTAAGGCTGACCCCAAACTGCAATCCTCCTGTCTCAGCCTTCCGGGTAACTGGGATTACAGGCATTCACTACCACACCTGGCTTTTATTTTGAATAAAATACTTTATTTTACCAAATAAATTCCAAAATGCTACTATTTTACCATGTAATTGATAGAAAAAGTTACAATATTGTACATTTTTAAAAAACTAAGTCTTCAAAATCCAGTGTGTATTTTATACTTCATGCCACCCCTTGATTTGGCTCAGGACATTTCAAGTGCTCATTAATCACTTGTGGCAACCATGCAGGACTATGGTACTTCAGGGAATTTACAGTAATGCTCCACTCTGTGAGGAAACTGCCTCCTAATTATGTCTTTTTCTTTTTTGCTATGTATCCCAGGCTGGCCTTGAACTCACAGTGATCCTCCTGCCTCAGCCTCCCAAGTGCTGGGATAATAGGCGTGCACTACCATGCTTGGCTGAATTATGTCACTTTTAGTTGGCTGCATTAATAGAGTGGCTGTACCTAGTTATTCCACTCAAAAAAAAATTTTTTTTTTTTTTAAATTTAGGACTCTGGGTTCTTTGGCATAGAAAATACCTTGAAAGCTGTACGGGTACCCATTGTCTGTATCCAAACCTGATGTGTGCTGGGACCATTTCAGCGACTGAACTACTAGAAATGTGAGCCCTTACCAGATGCATTTTTCTTCTCTGATCTCCCCAAGTTCTTGGATGTCTCTGTCTAGAAGGCGTTATGAGGTTTAGCAGCAGCTTATCTTTCTCAAGAAATAGAATAAAATTCTCTTTCCATTTCTACTAACATCATATCCAACTTTGAAATCCGGCATTAAGTTCCCACATCCTCTTTTCCACAGCGATTTCTGAGCACTAACACCCATCCAGGTCAGGAATCCAGCAACTGAACCAATGAATGCAGCCAAAGAGCGAGAAATAAATTTCCTGTTTTCCCACTACATTACCTGGCATCCTTGCAGTGTTTCTCTCCTTATGAATTCATCACAGTTGAATCCTTCTTTGGAGAAGGCTGCCTCGGGTCAAATCCATGTCCTACCACTTGTAAGCTGAAGGATGTAGCTCAATCCCCTCATCTATACCTTGTGGATAATAAAAATCTCTCATCCATGTAACAGAGCTTATCTGTATAAAGTGCTTGGAATAGGACCTAGCTTGGTAGCAAGCACTCAGTAAGGCACTCCGTAGTTTTACTCAATAAAAGTTTCACTTCACTTGCACCCTTATACATACATGAAAACCTCTGGCTTGAAAGGAATCTACACGCTGACCACAACCTCCAACACCTAGGAACCCATTCTGCAACATGGTATTTTCAGTCTACTTGAGCCTTACTGCCTCAGGGAGCAGCATCCCATCTTCGGACAGCGCTAACTTCTAGGAGAGCAAGGGGGTCGGGTTTTATGAGCCTCCCACCATTCCCGCCATCACTGTCACTACAGTTTACTACAAGAAATTCTATGGAATGTTAATATAAATCTTTACTATGTGCCCCAGATAAAGCACTTACAGAGAACTGAAGTTCAGAGTCGGCTGATGAAAGGATATCTTTAAATTGTGGCCATCCCATGATTCAGAGTTAAATCATAGGCTAAAAAGAATGACAGACTCCCATCAATGTTCTTCATAGGAAAAGCATTACCTTCATGAGATCTTTCTAGCCAAGGCCAGGAACTCTAGCTCTCAGTATCTGGACTGACCTTGTACACACACTGGAAAAGTAGAAATAGTGAAAAGCAAGCGCAAATAATGACAAAGAGTTCTTCTGAGCTAAGATATGTACGGGGAAACGTGGATGATCATTTCTAAAAGCCTCTCAACTACGGACAATCCAATTCAATTCCTAATGAAACTTCAATGTACAGAAAGCCCACTAAACGTAAGTATTCATGTGGTTCCGTTTGACTTCTAGTAGGAGCACGGGCTGCTGTATAGCCAAAGGTAAGTTTGCTACAGGAGCTACACTGACGGTGGAGGCAGCTCCACACACATTGCATCAAAAGCACTGAAACATTCATTAGCAGAGGCAAGAAGCCTAAATTACAAGAGAAGTGGGGAGTGATGTGACTGTGTCATGTGAAAAGTGAGGAGGTTCAAGAGCCAAATGCACTTGTCACATCCCATCTAAATCAGATCCCACCGGAAGCAAATGCAATTTGCAATTCTACTTTTTAAGTTCATTTTCCACAGCCAGTGCCTACTTCTTAAAACAAACCAAAGGTTTTCTAATCATGAGGTCCACTGAGATGATCATATACGTGAAATTTCTGTCTCCACAATAAAGTATCCATGGCAGATTTTATTGTTCCCAAATGAGAGAAAATACTTTCTCAAGGACAATTTGATCTTTGTATCATCTTGATTCTTGTACCCCGATCTCTAATCTACTCAGTTTCTTCAAGCTCTCTGCTAGAGGAGGCCATGTGTTTCAGGGAGCAGGGGTCCACAGCTCACCACTCCTGTGCATGCTCGTATGTCCATCTTGCTTGATGGGGAGAGGCAACCCAAATAGCTCACGGGTGAAAAGAAACAAGAGTCAAGAAAAAAATAAGAAGATGTATTTAAAAACAGATTCTCCAGTTGGTTTTGAATGAAGTAACTAACAATTATCTCTGACCCTTTACATTGTTTCTTTTATTCTTAACAGTCCTCTTGCAGCTTTAATTCTTGAAATTCAGGTGGCAGCACCAGACATTATATCCCCAAAGGGAGAGGTATTAGTTAACCATTTTCCTGGTCATTCTCGTCTGAATGCAGATGGACAAATTCTTAAGCCCTCTTATTCACATAATGACGACCATTAGGAAAAAAATTAAACTTGCATATGAAAATAAAAACAAACCACACACACAAAAAGCCCTGCAGATAATAAATATCGCCGATTCACTTATTTTCAACAAAGTCCAATTTTATTCACTGTTAATATCCTTGCAGTCCATTGTATACCTTCTGCACTGATCCTTGTTTCAGAAGCTGTTTGATACCTGAAGAAAGAATGAACAATGACTGTATTAACAAAAATCTGACTTTTCTAGAGTTTAAAAAGCAAGTTTCACAGGGAAGCTCAAAAAGCCCTATGACAACCAAAGATCTGAATGAAACCAACACCTGCCAGTCTGCAGCATCCCCACACACGGTGCCTGCCACACGTGCCCATGAGCATCCACAATGAGCCTGTATCCGTTTCTCTCAGGCCTACACCACACACGTCCCACAGCACCCTCAGAAAAGAGAAGGCAAAGAGAGGGAAAACTCTCTAGCTAACTAAGTCTTTCACTCCCTCTTCTCTGTCCTCTTTGCAGTTTTTAATCTCTTCCAACACTTTTCTTTCTTTTATTATTAATTTTTTCTTTTTTTTCCTTCCGGTACTAGGGATCGAACTCAGGACCTTGTCAGGCAGGTGTGGTGCCAGTGAGCTACATCCCCGGCCCTCTCTTTTTTTTTGGTACTGGGGATCTGAACTCAGAACCTTGCACTTTCGAGGCAGGTGGCGGAACCACTGAGCTACATCCCCGGCCCCTTTCTTATTATTTAAATCCTCAAAACTGGGCCCTCTTCCAGCAGGCATCACAGTCATCCACCCTTAAGCCTCTGATCCTCCTATTGCACACCGCATTTCCCCTTACAGTAAGGTTTAGCTTATTCATCTTAAGTGATTTAGTTTTACTCCCATACAATGGATCACTCCCTAGATTGTAAAGCCCAGCTCACACAAGCTTTTCACACAGCAACAGTAGGATTTTTATCATCACCTCCATGGAGAAACATAAGTTCATTGCTACCTTGTGTTGCGCTAGTTGATCTCTCATGTCACTGCACACTTCTTTGCTCTCATATACAACACACACACACACACACACACACACACACACTCATTATAGGCCATACCTTCTCTTGCTTCCTCTGTTAACTGTTCTTTAGGAAAATCCACATCAAAAGTGATTATCAAAGAGCCCTTGATATTGTTATTGTCAAAATTGGGGAGCCCTTCTCCTTTCTTCCATAGCTTGGCTCCTGGCCTGGTGATCTTGTCCCGGGAAATATGTACCTAGAAAGCAAAAAGGAATGGCCTGGTGTGCACCAGCATACCCAAAGAACACGGCACAGCTTCCCCTGAGCACTAGTGCACACAACAGATGTCACAGCTCAGCAAAGGAGAAAGGATGAGAGGCAAAGATTTTTAAAAATACGGAGAAAAAGCAAACAAATAAGTAGTAAAAAAGTAAAGATTTTGCCAGTGGAAATTTTAAGAAGAAGAGGTCAAAGGCTGTGCAATCAACCCTGAGTAGCTACAAGGTCTGTGGCACTGTCACTGCTCGGTGCTCATCGGCCAATTAAGGGGAGAAAGAAGAGAAGACTGGGAATCCCTGGGGTTCTAAAGGATGGAAGTGGCTGAAATAATTTAAAACTCCCCACAGGGAAGCTTTTAAAAGGCTTTAAGAAGCAGGAAAACTGGTTTGCTCACCTTGTGACCATCCAAGTGCGTAACATCCATCTCAAAGCCCACCAGAGACTCAACCAGGGAGATTGTCACATTTGTGTACAGATCATCTCCTCTTCTTTCAAATGTTCGGTGCCTAAAAATAAAACAAGGTAAATCTTTCAAACAACAAGCATTTACTAGACACACTTTTACGTGTAACATGGAGACTTCAAAGCTGTATTCGTCTTATTGAACCTTATTCTTTTTTTTGGTACTGGGGATGGAACTCCGGGTCTTTGTGCTTGCGCAGCAGGTGACGAAACCACTGAGCTAAATCCCCAGCCCCTTGAACCTTATTCTTAAGGAAGTTACAATCAGCAGAAACCAAAATTTGTAAGGCAAATTCTCAGTTTTTAGGTTATGAAAAAGAAGTAGCGTTTAGCAATAGTGGCTGGAGAGATGGGCGTCAGAAACAGGTCTGTGTGGTTTTCTGAGGTGGACCATGAGGCCAGGTGGGGACTAGAGACGGGGTAAGGTGACAAGAGGGAAAAGGGGACAGGTAAGAGGGAATTCACCAAAGATCAGGACTTGGGACTGTAACTGGGCTTACAGACGGAAGAGCACATGCTCCAGTTTCTTGGGGAAGTCATGAGAAGGACAGGCAGGTAAGAAAAGCTGGCGGAGCGATCACTGAATGGGAATGGGAATGGGAAAGTCCTCAGCTGAGGGAAGCTATTTCTCCATATTCTAGTGGAAATCCTGTTTTAATGAATCCTGAGATGGGAAGTATCTCTGGTTTCTAACTGGTAACGAGCGAGAAATAAGAAGCAAGAAAGCCCAGGTTCTGGGCAAAATTATTGTCGAGGCAGCACATCATGGTGAAGAGAAGCCTGTGAATGGAGCAGCTCCATACTATGTAATAGAAGGTCTTTTCTATGGAAAAGCCTCCCATCCGTGAATGGTGCCATAGTTCATCAGCTAAAAATCACAGCTCTCCTTGGCTCCCCTTCTTGTTAACCTTTAAAATAAAATACCTCCTTACGTTTCAATTTCTTCCTCCCAACATTGCTTTGATTTCCAAGTCCTCTATCAATAAATACTTGGGGCTCAATCCCAACTCCCAACCCCAGATTTTCAGTTACGCTGTAGTTATAAATATCTGCTTATGGTGTAATAGAGAAAAACAGGAAAAATCCGCACACATTATCTCTATAATCCGAGTCATCTGAAAAGCAGGGGCTAAGTAGCCTCTAGAATTCAACTACTTACTTGACAACTTTGATTCGGAATCGTAAATCTCCAGGTTCCCCATCCACATGAGGTTCACCTGGTCGAAAAGATTACAGAACACAGGAAGTCACACACATACACCACAAAGCTACTGGGCAGCTGAAAGACTTTAATGCCCCAACTAGAATTATATACCTTCCTTTATTGCTGAATTAAAATTAATCCATTAAGATCTTGACATGCTAAATTTTTTTATTTTTTTTAGACAGGGTCTCACTATGTAGTTCAGGCTGGCATTGAACTCACCATGTAGCCCAGGATGGCCTCGAACTCACAGCAATTCTCCTGCCTCAGCCTCCTGAGTGCTGGGACTACAGGCATGTGCCACCACGCCCAGTAAGGACACACTAAATTTTGATAAAGCTTAGGTGACCTGATAGTAACTTTTGGCCATCGTTTCAGAGGATGAACAATAATGCTAATGCTTGGGTGATTAACTGAATATCCTAAATCATAATATCCTAAAACTGGCTGAAGACTATTAGTAATTATATATTCATTGACTATGCAGCCATATAAGACAAGCAGTGAGGCAGAAGTGAAAGGTATTCATAAGCCCAAATAGTTATGATAAGAAAATCATCAGTAGTTCACCTTCTCCAATGAAAGGGTGCTCCATGCCATCTCTCACTCCAGGTTCTATTTCTACTTCCAGTGTTCGTTCTTCATTCACTAGTCTGAGACAAACAGAATTTAAAAAGAAAATACAAACGAAATCCCAGATACATACAAAGTTCTATTTATTCTGGCAGAACTTTTTCTTGAAAACTTTATTAGGCCTCTACCTGACAAAGCTCTCCAAGATTTGTCTACTTTTTCTACATGCCACAATTCAGGGCAAAGCTACTATGTACTACAAAAACATACAAGATTGTCCTAACAGCCCAAGTAGGAAGTAAACAAAACATTAACATGTGTCAAGCATACTCAGAGGTAAAGGGCACTGCTTATTAGTTTAAAAATTAAAAATGAAGATATTTATAAGAAACACTGCACAGAAAAGTTTAGACAAATGAGGCTATTCAAATGTTTACTGGCAGAACCACAGAGGTGATTTCACTTACTTGACATTAGGACACTCATCGCAGACCACTTCCTGGGTCATCTGGAAGCGCCCAGGGCCCAGCTGAGTGGTCCGCATCTCTTGCCGACAGTTACATTTCCGTTTGCCAGGAGCCTGCCTGGCCACAGGCTTGTTTCTAACTACCTAAGAAATGCATAAAAATAGGCTTCAGTTTCCTCAGTAGATGAGAGCTCTGCACACATGCCTGGGCTGGAACTTCCCCCTTTCTGACAAACTATCCCTCAGGGAGACCTAAAGCTGACAACACTCTCTGAAGAGTAAAATGAGCCCCCAAGCAGGAATGAACCAAACACATACTTTACACGTTCCCCCCGGCTTGAACCATTGGTGGTACATGCACAACTGTCCACGGGAACCACCTGATGGGACTGTCCCATGCTGCCAGATGCGACAATCATGTAGGTAGCACCGGCGGTTCGGAGCTGCCCATAATGAAACCTGAATTACAGCCCCATTGTGAATGTGTTAAACGACTCAAATTCTAAAGTTAGAAAAGAGAGAAGGGAATAAGAAGAGAAATGAAAATAAAGTGGATGATAACAGCCACAAGTAAGTGCTACTGAATTAAAGTGGTTGACAGAATTACTATCCTTGAAGAAACCTTACGTTGTGTAAAGTATAACCTCCAAAGGACAACCACTATGTTCAAAAGAAGCTGCTATGTGGTTACTGTCTAATTCTGTGATTAATGAAAATGCTTCCTTGTTTCAGGCAACTCAGCCTAGGGCTACTTTCCAGTGCTATCTTCATCACACACTTTAACACACAGGAAGAAACACAATGACCATGTCTTTGTAGTTAACTGAAATCAAATCTCTGAACCCTCTATGTGAAGTTGATCTATATAAAGAAATGCATTCCTGTTTTTGCCTAATCACAAGCCAACATGCACACACAGCAAAATGACACAAACAGTTTAGAGAAAAATCTCTTTTGGCCTGCCAACATATGAAAGTCCAGGCCAACTGAGTAAATTACAGCAAGAATATAGTAATTAGAACACACTTTATGCTCTAAACCTTTTAGTTTTAGTCAAAAGTACAAGTTCTGGGCCAGGGATTTAGCTCAGTGGTTTCGCCACCTGCTGCACAAGCGCAAGGACCCGAGTTTGAGTCCCAGTACAAAAACAACCAAACAAAAAAACAACAGAAAAAGTACAAGTTCTGGAACTTGATATTAGCAGCTGTATTGTTTGAACTTACTTCCACAAAATTTCCTGCATACACTTCTTCCAAAGTGACTTCTAGATCTACAATAATATCACTTCCTCTTGGAATGTTTCTGTCTTGCTGACGAGGGGTTCCTCCAAACATGAAACCAAAATCTCCAAAGAAGCTATAGATAAGTGTGAAATCATCAGGAAAAGAAATCTGAGTTTATGTCCCATGATTACTTTTCTTCACATTGATAAATTATTGCTGCTTACCAACCCACTGTGCAAAACTGAGTACTTTTAACACACTGTCATACATCATACAGTTTTGAGTTTATAATAATATTTACTACATTGCAACTATATCACTGCCCACCACAAAGAACTGTACCTTTTGATACAACACCGTCCACATATAAAGCACAGCACAGACACATACTGTATGCTATTGGATCAAATGTTGGTTTCAACCAATAAAATAATCTGCTTCAACAATGAAAAACTCCAGATTGGGCAGATTTATTGAGAAAAGGGTAAACCATATGTAACTCTGTGTAATGCCGAACTTGATGGTTAAGAAATTTGTAAGAGTAGTTTTGAACATATGTAGTGTTCCTTTTATGTGCTTTTGAGAAGTTAACCTTGGTGAAAGAAGCTACTACTCTGTACAAAAACCTTGGGAGCATATTTTAAATAAGCTAAAGTAGCATCTGTCTTAGTAAAATCCTAATCTTTAAGGAAAAGTAAGTTCTGGCCTCTACAAGATTGGAATTAATTTGTGTAAGTAACAGGATAATCACTCTGAGATTAATAAAAGCAGTGACCTTCATCTGTGGAGGCATTCTAATATCACGTCAATCTTTGGTGGCATTTTCGAAGACTTGGATATTAAAACGGTGATGATGACAACTATATGACTCCCTCTCCCACCAACCAACCCTGGAGACTATATTCCCGAACCCTGCAAGCTGGGAGGGGGGATGGCATGCGTGTGGGGGAAGCTGCCTCTCCTTCTGACGTCCCCGTTGCTCTCTGAACAGTCAAGGGGAGCAGACTCTCCCCCCGGTGGGTTAAAACAGCTACACTGATCTCAGGAAAGACAAAGGTGCTCTAATCATATCATGACACATCTTTACAAGTCCTGAAAGTCTACTATTAGCCCCAAACACTAAATGGAGAAAGCTACTGTATGCAGTGGTGATTCTTATTTCTTTTGGGGGAAAGGGTCACAGATGCCTTTGAGAATCTGAATAAAGAAATGAACTCTTGGGCTGGGGATTTAGCTCAGTGGTTCCGCTGCCTGCCTTGCAAGAGCAAGGACCCGAGTTCAATCCCTGGTACCAAAAAAAAAAAAAAAAAATAGAAATGAACTCTTTCCCTTTAAAAATGCAAATTCAAACATCTTTTTGCTTGTAACTTCAGACCTGGACCCCAGACTAAGATCTCCTAGTATATGGCATTACAGAGAGAGTCAAATGTCAACGGAGAGGGATTCAAAGAGTGAAGAGCAGAGGGGTTTATTGTTCCAGCCGCCATGCACTCCCCGAGAGGAGAAAGGAACATGCACCCTAATTTGTTCTCCAGTGGTGGTTGTGGGAATCTTCCCTCTCTTGCTGACAGGACCAAAGAGGGGGCTTCAGGTATGAGAGTAGGGATTTTCCTCTGCTTACAAGAACAATTTTGCTCATTAAACCACTAAATGAACCATTCTCAGACACTAATATTTTGCAGACGGGTAAATTACTTACTGTGAAAAAATGTCTCCATGGGAGCTCTGATGACCATCTTTCAACCCTTCCTCACCGTAAGTATCATACTGCTTCCGTTTCTCACTATCTGACAGCACCTGGGAAAAAGGCCAGTGGAGAAAAGATCAGCCAAGGTACATTCACATGTGTGGTTCTTTTTTCACTCTGATACTGTATTTAAGATTTCAGGGAAGTGTAGTTTCATTAATGTATGTTGTTTTCTCTAAAAGGTTAAATTCTTCGATGTACTGTCCATTCCAAATGGACTAATTTATGTGTTTAATGTAAATTTATCAAGCCTCATTTAGTAACTTAAATCAGACTTGAAAAATGTGGCTGTGATGTTCAGGGAGCTACTAGGAAAGAGGTAAGATGGACTGCTCAGGCTTACTTGCCATGCCTTTTAACTCTAGTGCTTATGCTCCTCATCCTGATGCTGTTTTCTCTCTCTAGTTGCTAAACTAGTTTCTATGACTATGGTAGATCAAACTAAGGAAATGGTCTGACAGGCCCTCCGGTAAGAGCTATGCTGCTCTATTCTCATACTCCTTATTTTCATGTTTTGGTATTTGTAGAAATCCATTTGTGGAAGAATAGTGCCAGCCATAGGTATTTTTTTCCCTTGTCTTATAGTGGTAAGAAGGGACATTATTCTACAAAGGCTGTTAAGGTCAATTTCACCTGGTTGAATTGAATTGAATTTTTTAGTTTCAGTCATTTCACAAAACTATAAAAATAGTAATGGCTATACGTTTTCTCACTGAATCCACTCTCTCTGCATGATACCCAAGAATGTAAAGATCTAGTAGATTTCTCTTTTTTTGGTACTGGCGATCGAACTGAGGCCCTTGAGCTTGCGAGGCAGGTGGCAGCACCACTGAGCTAAATCCCCGGCCCTAAGTAGGTTTCTATGTTCTGAAGAAGAGAGGAAAACACACACACACACACACACACACACACCATATTCATGTGACCTCGTTAGAGAGAGCCTGGAAGTAGATGGGGTTTGTTGACCTACCTGGGAAAATAAAAAAGGGAAGACCTGACTGGCATATTCAAACGGGACACACTTTTGGCTCAGGGACTGAATGATGTGAAGGGACCATGGTAAACCTTTAAGATAAATTTAAAAGGATATACAGACGTTTTAGTGTATAAAACAATGAGCATTCTTTAAAAGCAAAGACAAAGAGGTCATGCTCATTAAATCACTAAGTCCCCAATACCACTGTAATAAAGGCACTATCATAGACCAGATGAGAGAAAAGGAATGTTTTGGAAAACATTCTTAGAAAATAGGTAGTTTGGGGAAGCAGAAATGGACAGTTAACCTAAAAACAAAAACAAGCTCTTATTACACAACCTATATTCCCAATATTTTAATTTTCCAGTCTACTTCTCTGATACTATTTAGGCAAAGAAATGAACACTGTATTTGGTGCTATAAAAAGCACCATCTCAAAACCTGAAAACACAGACCATTTAAAATCAGGTTCTTTCTGGACACCAGAGTCTTCTGCAAAGGCCTCCCCAAAACTACCTGCAAAATCATCTACTGTCATTTGCTTCCTCTTCACCTAAGAAATACAATTTTATCCCATTGTCTTAGAAACTATTTTCTTTCTTTCTTTTGAGATGCAGTCTCATTATATTGCTGAGGCTGGCCAGGATCCCTGGGCTCAAGCAATCTTCCTATCTCAGTCTCCCAGTGGGCTGGGACTATAAGCGGAAGCCACCATGCCTGCACTATTTTATTTTTAAAAGCATAAAATTAAAAGGTCCTTAGTCGACTTGCCAACCAATATGCAGACTCTTAACCAAGTAACAGTAATCCCAGCTCAGAAGAGAAAACAAATTTGTATCCATAAGAGCCATAAGACTCATCTCTTCTTACTGTATTAAGATTCTGATTTGTGAACACTCAATTACCTAGAGCAAAAGGCAATCAAGCTCAGCTGATTCCAAAGAAAAAAGAAAATCTGGTGACGGAAAAGATTATCAGAGTTAAATAACCTGCAATTTCAAACAATGATATATATACAGTCTGCATAGGCCACGGATAGAGGACAGGCTAGATTCTTTACTGAGCACTGTAAAGTCACGTTCCCTAGACAATACTTTTGCATACTGGATTCCTAGGAAAGAATGGGACTATTCATGAGAAATAGAGTGCAAAATACGCAATCCACATTATTGACAAGAAACAAAATGTTATATATAATTTAAGAAGGGCCATCAACCCTCTTGAGTTTATTCATGGGTCCTAGATTAAGAATTTCTGTCCTATAAAATCCTTGACGGTATGGAGAGAAGGAAGGCCCCAATATAATGCCTAGCAACACAGTGATTGCATTTGTATATGACAAAAACTGGCCAGGGTTGAGTACTATCAGCTCCTTTGATACAAAGAAGGCTGCAGTTCATTACCGCCTTCATCAATCCCTACGGGGAACCAATGGGGAGGCAGAATACCATTATCGTGTTTTATCTCTTATTCCTGACAGTTATCTGGTCCATATGGGCGTTTAGGTGTGAACTCTTTATTTAGGTCTGTTCATACTTCTGGCTCTATCTCCGAAATGGATGGATTAATAGATTAATCTTTACTTATAATCTATCAATCTTACTTTTATTTTACATCATTATTCCCCTCATTAATATAAACATGAAAAAGGCAGGAAATATTATCTATGAACATGAATATAATTGTAATATCCACAATATAGCATTCAGTACTAGTTTTACTTCTATTGTCAATTTTTGAATAGAAATGACTTAAAGGAGTGTTTCTCTGCATTTTGTAGTCTTTTTTGGCTCCATAGGGTTTGTTAATATATCAGCTTTTTTCTTGACTCACCTCATATGCAGCACCTAGATCCTGGAATTTCTCCTGGGCTTGAGGATCATCAGGATTCCTGTCAGGATGGAGCTGCAGGGCTAGTTTCCTGTAGGCCTTTTTAATGTCCTTTATAGAGGCACTGCGCGGCACCCCCAAGATCTTATAGAAATCCCGCCTGGAAAGAAGAACAGAATCCTTCATTAAAGACTTATACATTTTTTAAAATCAAAAGGGTTTTTGTCTCCCTTTAGATTTTAGGTCTGTCTGAGCATGAGGTACAAAATGAAGGTGTATGTGACACACAGGAAACATACCAGTTTTTAATGAGTCTTATGTATTGAATAATCACAGTGTGAGAAGCAAAGTATTTTACGGGCAATGTTAGATTATTCAAAACATCTGAGGCACTCTTTTAAAACTGCTCTCAGTTGAACAATTTGTCTAGGGCTGTGGGTATTGTACAGTGGTAGAGTGCTTGTCTACCATGTTATCCAGCCCTGGGTTTGATCCTCAGCATTGCGCAAAAAGGAAAAAAAATATTTCTTATTTTATGGTCATGTTATTTTTGGGCAATAACCATATAACCTAATCAACTCTCCCCTTTTTCTTATACTGACCTCTGACTGTTTCCAAGGGTCAAATAACCTCAAAGAATGGTTTTCTTTATTCAAAAAAATTATGTCTCATAAATGTCCTAACAATAAGACTTTCAGAACATTAAAGATAAGATAACTTGAAGCTAACTTCAGAGGTTAAAGTGACTTGAAACCTTTTGCCTTGCCCGGGCTGCACTGAGTGAAGAGGAATTGTTTAGGGCTCCATATGAGATATATAACATAGTTAATGTATGTAAGTAACAAAACTCCCTTTTCACAATAGTTTTTATTATAATATTTCAAAAAATTTAAAGAGAGGGGAAGTGGCCCATGGGGCACAGATTAGACACACCTGGGTTAGACCAGACCCCAAATAATTCTGAAGAGAGACCCGTCTGGATGTGAGGACTATAGTGTTTTATGTTTTGTTTTGTTCTGTTTCTAAAAGCAAAAGAGAAAATATAATGTTTGCATTCATTGGTAATAATTTATCCAGAGCCATCTTTAGTACAGACAGCTTCTAAAGCTCATAAGCAGGAGCCTATATGTTTTAGTAGCAGTGAAAATGCATATGGCATGAACTGGGAGATAAGATAGAAACCCACTGACCTTATCAGGGATAATGCTGGAATCAAATTAATTATCAAGGGAATGGGAAATTGTGATGGGAAGACTGAATAAGACCATAATAAACTTTCGTGACAGGGATCCTATCTATTTGAAAAGATCAATAAATATTTAGTGAATGAAATAAATAAGAACACTAAAAAGATTTTCACAAGGAAAAAGGACAACAAAGTTTAAGCATATGTGCAAAGGGTTTAATATGCAAAGTTTAACCTTTATGAGAACAAGTACTTAAGTTTTAAAGCCATGTAGATTGTACCTTCCCCGTTTAGAATATTCTATAAATTGCCATCAGCTAAGACCTACTATTTCCTGCATTCTAAAATACAAGTCTATCATACCATTTGCTGGGTCACCAGGATTATAGGATCTTGAATCTTAAAGGCTGCAAAGATCAAGAGTCCATCTTTTCCCTATCTCTGCATAAGCATGGCACGATGTTAACCTGTTACAGATGGCAAATCATGTGGTTCTTTCCAGGTTATGTGATTCGTACGTGGGGTGAGGACATGTGGGCTAGAATCCCAGTCTACTACCTCTTGGTGAACTACTCTTCCTATTCATACCATTCAATTTCTCAAGAGGCACCACGGGGCGGCGGGGGGGGGGGCAGCGAGCGAGGCATAATGACAGCTTAGGTTTAACAGCTCAAAACGCTGAAAAGTCCAAGCGCTAAAGGGTCTTCTTGCTTCCTCAACCCAATTTCCTGCAGTCCACACTTGGCTTCCCTGCCTTCAGTCCTCGCTGGGCCTGGCATCACGAGCCCCTCACTTTAATGCCTGTCTCAGTCTTCGCCTTGCACTGTCCTCTTCTCCGGCTCGGCAGGACGCACAACCCTCCTTCTTCACCACGGATGCGTCCACCGCCCCCACCTCGGCCAGGCAGGGACCGTCTCATTACAGCGAAGTGTCTGCCCCATTCCTTCCCCAGCTCACCACCACTTTCTTCCCCCAAACTCCGTCCCATCCCATCCCCAAACGTCGTGCGCGGCACTGCATGCAACTCCCACTCTTCTGGGCAAGCCCAGCTCTACATGGCCTCTGTGGGGTCCTCTGTCTCATCACGCAGGCTCCCCTCACCTCGAACCCCACCAGCCTGGCCCACACGACCCGCCCCTCCGCCGCACACGGCGATGCCCCTCTCCACTCCCCTAGGCGGGCCACGCTGCCCCTCCCACCGCCCCTCCCTCGTGCCCACCCTGTCTGCTCCCCAGCAAAGCCTGACTCTCAGCCCTGTGCCTCTCCCTCACCCGGCGATCACAGCCCCGATGAGGTACAACAGCAACAGGCAGAAGGTGCCCAGGTTCTGCGGGGCCATGGTCCCTCGGTGCCGGCCCCTGTCCCGCGTACTTCTCACGGCCTGGCCGGCTGAGGCCGCCTCACGCCGGGGGTCTTGCTACTTGGTCGGCACAGACAGTTGGCTTACCCCCTCCTGTGCCAGTCCACTTCCCGGGAGTCCGGAGTCCCGGGGAGAGGAGCCCCCAACAGGCGAGGGCCAATCGCCGCCCTGGACATCACACGCGGCCGGCACGTCGGAGCCAATCAGCGCGGTACACTTCACCTCCGAGGCTGCTTGGACAGCCAGTTAGGCTTCGGAACTGCAGTCGCAGCTTCTGACCAATCAGAAGAAGAAACGTCAAAGGGTCGCGCCGCCGCAGGAAGCCGCTCAGCCCCGGCTCCCGCGAGTCGTAAAAATTACGTAAAAGATAGGGCCGGTGCCAAGGGAAGGCACCTGGGCTACACGATTCCCCCCTCGTCCCCGCCTCCTCGGAATTTCCCCCAATTCCGAGGCTTCTCCACCAGCACCGACCAACGGAGGGCGAGAAGTTTATCTTGGTGACAAGCCTCAAATTTTCACTCTGTGCTGCGCGTGGGATCCTGGCTCGGAGGGAAGAAGGCTGGATTGAAACTTGGGGCTCAGTTACTTCGCTCAGACTGTACGTGAGACGCCCTGCCTGCCTGGAGATCTTACTTTACAGTATCCCGACAACCTGGTAGGGGAATTGTCTCGGTTTCATAGAAGAGAGCCACGGTACCTTATAGAGACGTGCGACCCGGGAGACCGACTTGAGTTCAGACTCAGCTTCCAGCACTTCTTAACGGCGAGACAACCCACTCCCCCAGTTCCGAGCCTGTCTATTAACAAAACTAGGGTGAAGCACTTCCTGGCAAGATTGTGAACTTTTAATGGAGAAAAATCTACTTTTTGCCTACAACGGTGGCACGTGGTAAGCACGCAATGAATAAAAGCATTATTACTGTTAAAAGCAGAACTTTTCCCTCGGTTTTGCACATCACAGTAAACGCACCAACTACTTGTTCAGGACAAAACTCGAGGTGTCTGATTCCTTTCAGTGTAATCTATCCACATCTTTACCTCCCAAGTACGGTTTGTCTTGAATCTGCTCGCTACATTCCTATTAACGTGTCTTTGGGCCTAATTAATCATCTCTTACCTGGAAAGGCCTCCTAACTGTTCTCCCTGCTTTCAATCTTAATATTAATACAGTATTTTAATGTACCCGACCCCCACCCCATGATTTTTTTAAAATGTCAAATCATGTCAGTCTCCTGCCTAAAAGCCTCTAATGGCTTTTCATGGTACCTAGACTAAAATGCTAACTCTGTGCTCACAAAGCCTTATATGATTTGTACCCTCACTTATTACACACCCTACCATGTTCCAAAAACACTAGCTTCCTTTCTCTTTTGCATATATACGCTCCTTTCTGTATGGAGCCTTTATACTAGCTGTTTTCTCTGCCTAGAATATTCTTCCCTCCTTTAGACCCCAGCATGAGTTGGTTTTTTTTAACTCCGATATCAACTTCAACTAACCACCCCAGAGAGGACTTCCCTGATCAATCAAAATTAGCTCCTATTGAGTCCCTTACTTTTCACACTGCACTGTATTTTATTTCATTTCTATCCCTTCCCTCTGCACTCTCACACACTGAAATGGCCATTTCACCAGAGCATGAATCTAGCCTGTTCTGTTTGCAGCTGTATAGAACAGCACCTTAGAATAGTGCCTGGTGGAGTCGTGCTCAGTTATTTTTTAGTAAAAATTGCTTTGACTGTGATCTTCATGTGGCTTCTTGCTCTTCAGACCTTAGCTCAAATTTAGCATTACAAATTGGAATAGATGATAAAATTTTCTCAAGGTCACTAAACTAGTGGATGATGCGGCCTGGATTCTAACATAGGTCTGTTTAAATCTGAATCCCCTGCTTTCAGGAAGCTGCCTACCTGGGGAAAGGGGCCACTTAAAAGAACTATTGAATTTTATGGTATACTTTACCTTTGTATCTCACAGCCAGAAAGGCCATAAATGAACCAAGAAAGCGGGACTGTTCAGAAATCACAAAATGTAAGTGTAAAGAAAGGAGTGTTGTCTTTTGCTGGGTGGGAGCCAATAAAAGCTTCACAAAGCCAGTAACAGGGCAGGTGCTAAGGATGAGTGGGGCTGAGACTGGGGGTAGGGATGGCTTTCACAGACCTGGGTTTGAATCTTGACTCAGTTTCTTGCCATGTGACCTTAGCAGTGCGTTACTTTTACCTTTCTATGCCCTACTTTTCTCATCAGCAACACAAGCATGCTTAACTTGCAAGGGCTCTTGAGAAGACTGAGATAATAGATAAAAGTACTTTACTCAGTGCCCAGCCTAAGCGGTCCACGTAAGTAAACTGCCATTATTTTTATTACCGATCAAAACGTGCTAACCTTACCAGCAGCTACTGGCTGACCACAGCTCTGTGGAGCAACAGAAATTTTCCTACCCCTTTGGATTCAAAGGCGTGACACAAGAAACCGATGGGTCTGGCTCGGAACCACGGCATCAACAGCTTCGCTTCTACGAAACTTGTCCCCGAAGCCAGACGCAACCCACCGCTCTAGCAACACGGTCCGCCAGCTCTCGGTGGTGGGAGGCCTTGCGCTTGCGCGGTGGGCGTCGCGAGGGCCCGCTGAGGGGAGGACTGGAGAGGGGCGCGCGGGATGCTGGGCGCAGCGGAACTTGGAGAGGTGCGGCCGCCCAGCTCCCACCTTCGCAGGTAAGTGCTCTCGCTCGGGCGGGCCTAGGGGGAGCGGGTGTTACCGTCAACTTCAGCTTGGCCTGGGAGGCCGGCTTGGACCTGCCGCATCTCGGGACAGCTACAGGCTGTCAGCTGGGACGTCTGTAAGCGAAGCCCAGCCGGGGCGCTCGGGCCGCCCTCGTCCCTTTCCAGACCGGAAAACCCTTACCCCGTACACTCCCCAAGGGGAAAAACCCTACGTTATATTTCTTTACATCTGGCACTCCAGTCTTGGAGGTAGAATAGAGGGTTCTTCCTCAGGGTCTGGCTTTGGATCGCACACTTCAGTACCTCACAAGCAGCTTGTTTTCATTTTGGGAAGAGCTGAGGTCTAACTGATGCACTTTCCAGAACAACGCCAAGCCATTCCCACGTTGGGACACAGCTGCGTTTACACTTCCGCACCTTTCTCCCGAGTCTGTACTTCCATGTTCTTCACCTGACACTTAAAATAGCCTCGTATAAGAATTTTTTAAAATCCGATTCTGGACCCTCCTTTTTCAGAGATTCTTAGGCCTTTTTAAGAGATTTGGAAACCATAACAGTTTCCCAAAGTTTTATTCGTAGCAATGCAGTTCGCATGTCCAACCTGAATCCTAGTCCAGGGCTGTGCCAACTAAATATGCTTTTAGGTAAGTCCCTTAACTTCTCTGTCTCAGTTTTCTTGTCTGAAATGAAAGAAATCATGTATCTCCACATGGTTGTGAGAATGAAAGGAAGTAAAATGTACAAACTATTTAACATACGACCTGTCAGGTACTAAACATTCATGTCATTTATTGTTTGAATAGTTTCCAGAAGAATCAAAACATTTTAGAGTCAAATTCAAAATACAATATTTTAATCAGTCATATAAGGAAAGATTTAAAAAATATTAATGTGGAGGTATATTCAAAGAAGTGGGTATCTTGGTCAAATGATGGTACAGTTTTGATAAAGCTGTGCTGGTAATTAATGGGGATATGTGTCAGTAGCTTCTGAAATGTTGCTTACTTCATTTCACAGATGCAGGTAGGAAAATCCCTGGGAATTCATAATGTAGAAATTGAGCAGAAAGATGGTAATCAGAGCATTATGTGTAGTAGTGAAAACATTTGAACTTTTTATACTGGAAACTTTTGACATACACAAGGGAAAATAGGCATCGTGCACACATCTGTTCCTTACCCAACACTCAACAGTGATCAATATTTTTTTATGGAAAATCATAAACCTAAGTGTCTAAAAGTAGATGGAGTACATTTAAATGCTATGAAGCTTTTAAAATACAGATTTATATATTTGATATCACAACTATGAAAATTTTTTAAAATCCTGTCTGTGCGTAGAAAAACAATAAGAAAATATAGCAAAACATTATCTAGTTGCCATTTAGTGGTAGAAATGTGGATGATTCCCCCTTCATAATCATTACATACAACAAGCAACGAACAAAATGTAAAAATATTACACCTGAACTGAGTACAGAAGCATAAGCCAGAGCAGGTTCACTGTTACAGAAAATAAAGATGCTTTAACTTCTGTTGATCTGTTTCTGTAGCCTATGTTTACATTGGCATTCTTGTCTGCCATTTCATATTAGTGCTTCGTATTAGTCACCTAACGTGTCCAAATGTTTAACCAGCCATCCTCTGTGTGATTTAGCGCTAAAATTTTATTCCTCTTGTTTTCACTGGTGTTCCCGCTCAAGGTAAAGTTAGTTTTATGTGACAGAATGACTTTTTGTACCCCTATCCATTCCTTCTCTTTTTCCTGTCCTGAGCAGAGATACAACCCAGATTTTATGCATTTACACACTTTTCTAAAACATTTCTAACAAATCAAAAAGATCGTTTTGTTTCATTGCAATTTCCTTTTTTGCTTAAAATGTAATGGAATTTAAGAAAGAATTGATTCTATTTTTGGTTGTTAAACTGGAGCTGCTTTTTAACCTGATGATCTAGAAGGTAAGGGACTGGTCACTTGCAAGAAAGTCTATAAATGGGATTTGTTTCAAATTAGTATTTGAAGAAACTTTGTTTCTTAGGTATGCAAAGAAGCTTTTTCATCCAGATGTCCTTAGTGATAATATGGATCAGTCTGGAGTTCTCCTCTGGGTAAAAGCAGAACCCTTTATAGTGGGTGCCTTGCAGATCCCCCCTCCATCCAAGTTCAGTCTTCATTATCTCAAGAAGATAGCCACCTATGTGCGAACCCGTGCTATAGAGAGAGCTTACCCACGCATGTACTGGTCTACATGGAGGCATATTGCATGTGGGAAGCTGCAGTTGGCCAAGGATGTGGCATGGCTTTACTTCGAAATATTTGATAGTCTTTCGATGAGGTCGCCTGAGGAGCGCCTGGAGTGGTCTGAGATTCTGTCTAACTGCATATCTGAGAATGAAATCGAAAAGCAGAGAAATCAGGTATGAATTGATGTATGTGTATGTTTAATTGCTTTGGGAAATAAACCATTCTTAACTTTTGTACTAGCAGTATAGTTTTGAGGTTTTAGGTTAATGACCACTGTGATCCTGAAGTACCATTTGAATTTAAGCAGCTCTGGTTTGCCAGTGTTTAATGTAGTCTATGAATTAGACCTTATTTCCCAATCCTTATTTGCCTATATCAAACCAGTAATGTTACAGGAACCCTGAAATTAAAAGTGGGAGATACTTATCAACTTTAGAAATATTTAAGGATGAATGGACATTATGAACCACTGATACATTACAGTCAGAGGCACCTAATTCTATAAAGACACTTTTTTTTTTCCTGGTACCGGGGATTGAACTCAGGCCCTTTGTGCTTGTAGGGCAGGCATGGCACCAGGTGCCACTGAACTAAATCCCCCGCTAGAGGCACCTAATTTTAAATAACCATCTGCTACATGTTGTAATTCAATATATTTGGGAATACAGTGTATTCATCCTTTTGTGTTGCTCATAAGATAATAGACATTCCTTGTTTATCGAGTTCTGTTCCTGCAACTTGGTAGCTAAATGAAGAATTGTATATATACTTCAGGCTGGCTTTGAACTCACTATGTAGTCCAGGCTGGCTTTGAATTCACAGATCCTCCTGCTTCCGAGTGCTAGGATTACAGGTGTGTCCTACCAGGCCTGGCTGATGACTTTTATTTCCATAACTCTTACATGCACTATTGTAACGTATAACAACATAAAACTGCATTACTGTATTGTACAGTACAATCAGCAAAAATTACAGTGCTGTATAAATAAGGTATACTGTACAAAAAAGACATTGAGGCTCTATAAACAAGATGTACAGAACTATACAAAGAAAAGGTTGTAAGATTGAACAGTTGTTAAACATGTAGGTCATTAAACAAGGAATACCTGTACCACATTTTTAAAAAAATAGGTTTCCTTTGGTTCTGGAGGCCCAAGGTAGAAGGGTCACATGTGGTAATGGCCTTCTTGCTGACAGTCTCAACGTGGTCTATATTTGTCACCTTTAAATTGCTAGGATAAAGCACCTGACATGTACAATTTAAAGGAGAAAAGATTTGTTTGGGTTCATGGTGTCAGAGGATTCAGTCCATGCTCTGCTGGCTCCATGGCAGAAGCATCATGGTAGGAGGGCGTGGCAGAGGACAGCTGCTTTACATCATGGGCATCCCAGAAGCAGAGAGAAAGAGCCCAAGAAGAGATATGCCTTTCAAAGGTATTTCCCCAGTAACTGGCTTCCTCCCACTAGGTGCCACCTCCTAACAGCCCATTTTCCTTAGATGAATTTAGCACCTCATGATTCAGTCACCTCTGTAGATCCCACCTCTGAACATTGCTGCATTGGGGGTCAAGCCTTCAATACATGAGTCTTTGGGGGGCTTCATGTTTAAACCGGTGGCCCAGGGAATAGAGACAAGGAGCACATGTAATGTTTAATCTCTCTCCCTCTTAAAAAGCCCCCAGTATTCAACCATAGGGGATTTACCGCGATGAACTTACTAGTCATAATCAATTCCCCAAGGTTGTACCTCTAAACACCTACATCTGAAACTCCAAAGCCTCATTTGAAACTCAAGGCAAACTCTTTCCAGCAGCGAGTCTATAAAATCAAAACAAGCTGTCTATTTCCAGTATCTAATAGTGGGAAAGGCAGGCACAGGGTAAGTACACATTCCCATCCAAAATGAAGAAGCAAGTAGGAAATAGTGACTTGCCCAAAGTAATCCAGAATCCTCATAGAGCTCATGAGGTAGCTGGTAGGTAAAAAAAAAATTATGGGTAATACTTTAGAAATAGAATACAGAATGAATCACTCTGGTGATAAGGAAAGACCTAACAGTATGTTAATCATGGTAGGTTAATTATAGTAACAAGCAAGCTCAGCATTTTGTGGCTTAGAACAATAACAATTTATTTCTTAGTTATCCTACAGTCCTTCACAAGTGTACTGAATCTCTGGGTTGTTGTCTAAGTTGTGACTCAGGGATCCATGCTTTTATGTTAGAGTCATTGTAGTGGTACCTTGGTTCATAAACTTAATTCTTTCCATGAGAATTATGGAACGAATTCTGCAACCAGGATCATGGAAATAGGTTCGTGAACCAAGTACCACTGTATTAGTATTAATCGGCTTTGCTGCAGAAAGAAAATAAAACAATGAAATTTCAATGGCCTGGATAACAAAGGTTTAGTTTTTGTTCATTTTACTTGTAGCTATACTTTAGCTATGGCTGTCTTCCAGGCTGAGTTGGCTCTATGTGTCTTCTTGCTTGGGAGCACAGCTTCTTCGTAGGTCATGGCTGTTCTTGTCAGAAGAGCAATAAAGGAAGGGGAAAGTCATAATGTCTTTTTACGCCTTATTTCTAGTGTATACAACTTGATTAGTTTCGGATAAATACATACTGTGAAACTTTCGCCACTGTCAAGGATGAGACGTATCCATCACCTCCCCAAATGTCCCTCGCCTCCACTATTATTGTTATTGTCTATGTATGTGTTAAGAACACTTAAACATAAAATCTACCTTTTCTTAGAAACCATTATTAGACAAAATAAGGAATAAGGATGAGGGGTTATAAGGGAGGGCAAAGGGGGGAATAGATATTATCAAAATGTGTTCAGTATATGTACAAAAATATCATTGATACTTCAATATTTCACAAGTTAATAAGCAAAGATAAAAATACAATAAAATATCTACCCGTTTAGTAAATTTTAAGTATGCAGTCAGTATTATTAGCTGTAGGCATTACAGTGTAGAGTAAATGTCCAGGACTAAATTGTGTAACTGAAACAGTAGGCTTTGCCCATTATCTCTCCATTTCCCTCTCCTTCTGTGAGTTTGACTGTTTTAGATTACACTGTGGTTTGGATATAGTTTTAGTGTCTCCCAAGAGCATCATATATTGAAATTTAATCTCCAATATGAGAAATTAAATGAGTGGGAACTTAATCTTACTCTGATATTTAGAGGTGGGGCCTTTGGAAAGCCACTAGGATTACATAAGGTCACATAGTATTTGGCTTTCTGTACCTAGCTTATTTCACTTAGCATAGTGTCCTCCTGGTCCATCTATGGTGTTGAAAATGGTAGAATTTCTGTCTTTTTAAAGGCTCAGTAATGTCCCCTTGTATGTATGTACACACACCCAAACAACCACATTTTCTTTATCCGTTTATCCCTTGGTGAACATTGTCAGTAGTGCTTCAGTGAACCTGAGGATGCAGGGATACTTTAAGATCCTGGTTTCAGTTCCTTTGGGTAAATAACAGAAAATGGAATTGTTGTATCATAACAGTAATTTCGTTTTAAATTTTCTTGGAATGTCCACACTGTTTTTCATAATTGCTGTACCAATTTACATTCTCACCAGTAATGTATCAGAGTTCCCTTTTCTCCACATTCTTACCAATGATTATTAATCTTTTTTTTAAAATAATAGCCATCCTAACATATGTGGTGATATCTTATTATGGTTTTGATTTGCATATCTCTAATTATGAGTGATGTTGAGCACCTTTTCATCCTCTCGTAAGCTGTTGTGTATCTTCTTTGAAGAACTGTCTGTACAGGCTTTTTGCTTATTTTCAATCAAACTCTTAGGCTTTTTGCTATTGAGTTGCAGCAGTTCATTATATGTTTTAGACACTAACTGTTCATTAGATATTTGGTTTTCAGATGTTTTTTCCCATTCCATAGATTTTCTTTTCATTTTATTGATTACTGTCTTCATTATGAAGAAGTTTTTTAGTTTGATCCAATCCTACTTGTTTATTTTTGCTCGTTGCCTGTGCTTTTGATGTCATATCCAAAAATCACTACTAAGACCAATATCAAGGAGCTTTTCTCCTCTTTTTTAGTTTTACTGTTTCTCAAGTCTTACATTTAAGTCCTTAATCTGTTTTGAGTTGATGTTATATGATATAAGCCAATAATGGTGAACCTTTTAGAGCTTTCAATGATAACAAACAGCCAGCTTCGGCACGTGTCCCCTTGGTTTGCCACCACCAGTAAGCTGTGTTCTCAGTTTTTCTAACATCATGTATTGAAGAGCCTGTCCTTTCTCCATTTTGTATTCCTGGCACATTTACCAAAAATTAGTTAACTGAATATGTGAGAATTTATTCATTTCTGGTTCTCATGGTACCTCTGAAGACTTTTGCTCAGGTCAGGTATGGTGGTGCATATCTGTAATCCCAGCTACTCAAGAGGCTAAGATAGGAGAAGGATTGCAAGTGTGAGCCTAGTCTGGGCAATTTAGTGAGGTCCACTAAAAAAAATATTTTTTTAAAGGGCTGGGGATGTAGCTCTGCTCTCCTTGGGTTCAGTCCTCAGTAACACACACACACACACACACACACACACACAAGAACAAACAAAACAACTTTTGCTCAGATGTGCCATAAATTCCAGCTACTTCCATTGACTAAAGCTTCATCACATGACCAGGCTTAAGTCAGTGGGGTAGGAAGGTGAACTACCTCATGGGAGTTCAGGGAAATCCATGGCCATAGATAGAGCTAAATAAACTTGGAACATGGGTAGGTACAGTTGCAAATAACACCTTTCACCACAGCCATGTCAGTTAGGCCTTAAAGTCCTCTGCTTCTGTTTCTTTTGGACTTTATAATGAGTCAGGTTTGAAAGTGTTGACCATAAATTTGCCTACATTCCATTGACTGTGACTAAGTTACAGCATGTGGAGCTGCAAAAAAGGCTGAGAAATGCCATTCTATTATGTGCCCTGGAAGAGGAGAAAAGTAGCTTCCATTCTAGCCAGTCTCCTACATGAGGTAATACCTGAATAAGTTTTAGAAATTGAAATTTGTCACATAGCCAAGAGGGGAAGGGCATCACGGTTACTCATTAATCAGATATTTTTATTGTGTACCCTACTATGTCCTAGGAACAGTAGTAAATACTATGAATATAGACAGGCATAAAGCCTTCAAGACGTTCCAAATTTTTTGAGTTCTCGTTATGTGGCTTATTATAGTTTTTTTTTTTTTTTTTTTTTTGGTACCGGGGATCGAACTTGGGACCTTGCGCTTACAAGGCAGGCGCCGGAACCACTGAGCTAAATCGCCAGCCCAATGTGGCTTATTATATAGTAGTTACTAGGGATATAAAAAATGAAAAAGGCAAGCCAGTCAAAGTGACACACATATCCCAGCATTCTGGGAGGCTGAAGCAGGAGAGTCCCAAGTTTAAGCCCAGCCTGGCAACTTAGCAAGATGCCTTCTCAAAATCAAAAATCAAAGGACTGGTGATGTAGCTCTGGACAAAGGCCCTGTATTCAATTCCCAATAATACAAAAAAAAGGAAAAAAATCTTTTAGTTTCAGTCGGTGGCAAACAACTCTGGATGCTACTCCCAGCTACTTGGGAAGTGAGACAGGAGGATTGTGAGTTCAAGGTTACTCTGAGAAATTTAGCAAGACCCTGTCTGAAAATAAGAAGGGCTGAGCTTGCTGGGAATTAAGGAAGGGGAAATGTGGCAGGGGAGTCGGGGTGGCTATAAAAGGCAACATGGAAGATCCCTGAGTTGGTGGGAATATTCTCTGTCTTGGCTACTTTGCTGTCAGTATCCTGGTGATATTATCCTATAGTTTGGCAAGGTGGGAAGCTGGGAAAAGCATACAGGGTATCTCTCTGAATTAGTTCTTACAATTGCATGTGAGTCTTACAAGCTTAAGGAAGTAAAAATTTGTAAGTATGTATTTATGGGGCTCCACATTGGCAGTTGATTGAATAGATCTGGAGGATCCTGAGACCATGTATTTTTAAGCTCCTCAGATGATAGCAATTTTCTACCAGGTTGGAAATCAGGGTAAATACAGCTGTAGACCCATATGTCTCACTTCATTTTGTTCCCTCTCCTATATGTATAATGGGGATGGGTGTATGAGGATAATCATGAGCTTCAAATTGTAAATTGTGAGCTGGGTGTGGTGGGGCATGCCTATAATTCCAGCATTCAGGAGGCTGAGGCAGGAGGATTGCCAACAGTTCCAAGCCAGGCTAAACTACATAGTGAGACCCTGTCTCAGAAGAAAAAAAAATATTGTGAGCTTCCAGCCACACTCTTCCTCTGATAAGAAGTCACCTTGAGTGACCACTCTCAGACAGTGGTTCTTTTTTCTTTTTTTAAGTCTAACAACTTTTTAAAAACTATGAAAACCTTAGACTACTTTCTCACAATGTACATCTACCAAGATATTATTTATAACTTCAGTTATATATATTCAGATATTATATATAACTTCAGTTGGTACACTGATAATGCTAAACTTTCTTGAGAAATCCTTAGGTTAAACCACTAGCTTAACAAATTTCGTTTCTTTTTTTCTTTTATCTATTCATTTACTTATGAAAATTACTAAGGTTGGGTTTTTAACTATGAGATTAAATGCTGAAATAATGTAGTTTTTATAAGTATGTCCTTGATTCTTTCCTTTTCATTAGGTTTTGGAGAACTGATTTTTATGGCTGTCTGCGAAAGTAAATGACCCTAATATTAGAAACTCCTATGTTTGGTTTTCAAAAACAGACATATCAAATGCTAGCAATATTTCTGATAGCTGTTTTTTAAGGGTCAACAAGCTGTTGTGAATTTAGTTTATTGTGTCTCCTTCACTGATGCTCTAAGACATATGTTCATCCTTTACTGTCTTCTTGGACAGGTTTCAGTGGACACCCTACAGTTTCTGCTCTTCCTGTACATACAGCAGTTAAATAGGGTCTCCCTGAGGACATCTCTGATTGGAGAAGAGTGGCCAAGTCCGAGAAACAGATCTCAGCCTCCTGACCCATCTGAAAAGTCCAAGTGCCATCATAAGGTACTGTTCATAACTTCATCTCCTTCTCTGAAAGGGACAATTTGTAGGAGGCAAGTCACCCTCTTTAAACCTTATATTGGGATTCCTATATAGACCAATGATTTGATGCTTTCTCTGTGTTTACAAGGCAGGTGCAGTGCCACTGAGCCAGATTCCCAGCCCGATTTGATGCTCTCTTTTATTTTTTGCTTTTAGAGTTTTTCCCTAATAATAAAATAAAAATTAGTCCGTGCAGTCATAATCAAAAACAAGAAATGGCATTAGTTCTTTCACTGGTATAAAAATCACATGATTTTTGGGCAAATCATTCACTATATTCTGTTAGTATTTCCATTTTTGTAAATGCTAATGAATTTGAATCTACTTACTTGACTAAGATGGATAAATGAGGTGTACTATTTGCAAAGTCTGTTCAAAACGACTGAAAAATTTTTCTATAAGGTACTTCTTAGTCATGTTTAAGAAATTTTAATAAGTATTGCAAAAGCCTACCTGTTAACTGCCTCACATTGTTTTAGAAAATGTCCTATTGCTTTTTCATTTCTATTTTTGTCAAGCAAAGCCTTTTTATTTAATTAAATTTATTCATTTATTTTTGAGACAGAGCCTTGCTATGTGGCCCACGATGGCCTCAAAAACAGCGATCCTCCTGCCTGGGCCTTCCAAGTGCTGGGATTATAGGCATGTGCTACCTACCATGCCAAGCCCAAAGAAAAACATTTTTTTAAAACTTTTTTTTGTGGAAATATTTTGAAAAACTTGAAGTAAAATGTAAACCTTAGAATTAATGCCATGTGCAGGCCCTTTTAAAAAGTTCTGAAGCTAAAAACAAATCTCCTTAATATTTGGTATTTTTATAATCTTTTTAATAAATCTGTCCTCCCTTACATTCCACAGTACTGTACCTTGCTGGTTCTACTTTTGATTCTTTCTCATTTTTCTTCATAAATTTCTCTCCCCCAGCCCTTAAATGCTGCTGTTCCCCAGGATTCTACCTGAGGAAATTGTTATTTTCTTTTTTTTTTTTTTAACCCCAAGGCAAAGCTTTTATTAAAGGACAGAGCTACCAGGCTGTCTCGAACAGTGATGAGAACAGCCGGGATTGTTATTTTCTACTTAGCATCTGTATCCACGGCAATTCTCTAGCCCCATGTCTGCATGTGTCTCAGTGGCTCTCAACTTTATCTCCATGCTAGAGCCCTTGCCTTGTGTTTGCCTCATCACACGGACACCCTAGCTCTGCCTTAATTTTAAAATGTCCAACTGCAGGTGTACTAGAGAAACGGAACGTTGCATGCTTTCTGCCCAGGTAGTTCCTGTGGTGTTTTGAGCTAAGGCAGCCCAGTTCAGATCTGGCTGCGCCACTTAGTAGTCGCATGGTTTTAGGCAGGTCAGTTCACTTGTCTTGGACCTGGCTTCTTTTCTTTAAATTGGGCTGATGCCTATTTCTGAACAGCTGTGAGAATTCTGTGACACATTAACATGGGACTTGTTGCATAGTAAGGAGAGGAAATGGCAACACCGGTTTATTCCGTAGCACTGACCTCTCCCAACAACAGAGAGCACAAGCGCTTGAGCAGCTCATTCAAGGCTGTGTATTCGAAATGAGAGCCTCGGCCCTCAGTCCCTAGAGACTGAAGCAGTTACCAGTTGGCGTGGGCGCCTGAGCCACAGGCTCACGTGGCATTGGGACCTGTTAGAGCAGCACTGTGCTCAGGGGTGACCTGCAGTTACAGCCCCTAGGAACTGTGAAGTAACTGGTGAAGTCCGGGATGCTTCTCATCGGGGAAGAAGAGGAGAGGGACAGATTTGCGGAGAGGAGCCAGTCCCAGAGGGCTTTCTCTTCCAGTTCTCATGAACTCTGCCTCTACTTTAGTTTGGGCGACAAATACCTGCAGATCTGTGGTGAAATCTACCTTTTCTTGAACTTGTATCCCTGTGCCAGTGAAAGTTACCACCACTGCACCCACCAGCCTCTCCCTCCACTCATCTAGTTAATTAACAAGTTTTACTGATTTCTGCCACAAAATAACTCCTTAAATCTGTTCCTTTTTCTTCCTCTCATCTAGACTTTTTATTTTTCCTTTTTCTTTTTCCAGTGCTGGGGATTGAACCCAGTGCCGTTACACTGAGTTACTTCCCAACTGTTTTTCATTTTGAGGCAGTCTCACTATGTTGACCAGAACAAACTTGTGGTCCTCCTGCCTCAGCCTCCCAAGTATCTGTGATTACAGGCATATGCCACTGCTCCCTCCTGTCTAGGGCTTTTTTTTTTTTTTCTTTTGCCTTGATTTTTTTTTTTATTAGATCCCAGCTGATCACCCTACTTTTAATCTATAGTCACTCCCTCCCACCCTGGACCTTGTAAAATCCAGGTGCATTACATTCATCTCCTGTCTAAGCTCTGTCAGTGAACCCTCCTTGTTATTGGTGTTTTCATATTGTACCCATGGAGCCGCCTCAGGGCCTATTTTGAGGGAGAGGCGTGCAGTGAGAAGGAGGAATAATAGGTTGAAGTAGAGAACAGCTCTGCTTTGATCTATTTTCTTCGGCAGCCAAATGAGAATTTACTTTTAAAAAAAATGTATATGCATGTGTGTGTATATTGCTATTTAGAAAATAACTTAAAACTCTGACACACAAAATTAAGTCCAGATGTTTTAGTATTGTGTACAAGGTCTTTCATGATTGGTCTCTACCTACCATTTCAGCCAAAACTTGTAGTTCACTGAACAAAGCAGTCCTTTCATTCCTCTCTGCCTTTGCATATGCTGTTCCACATGCTTAGAATGCCTTCTTTTCTTAACTATTTGTGTAACTACCAATATCAAACAAGAATGACTTGAAGTAACACTCCAGTTTTTTTCTCAGTGGAGTTAGTTTCTCTCATGCTCATAGAGTATCTTTACAGATCTTTGCTGTTGGTCTTATCTCAGCGAGTTGTGCTTATTTATTTATGTGTCTTCTCATGACGTAGGTGCTTGAGTTCCTTGAGGCTAGGAACTGTGTCTTATTCATTTTACGTATCTGTCATTTCACATTGCTCATGCCAAATACTGTCAAAGGTCCTCAAAAAACAACTGTCAAATGAAAGAGCCAAATTGCTGAGACATCTGCCAACTGAACGCTCATTCCCAAAATTGCAGTTTCCCTTAAATCTAGTCATTGTAAGATATTTTACCCAGTAGAATTTGAAGTTCTTTTTGTTATAAAAGGAAGTAAATGAAACCCAGTGCTTCATTGAGTAAATGTCCATGGTGGCTATTTTTATGTTTAATTTGAGTCTTTTAGAATATTTGCTTTCTGTGTGACTTTCTCCTCAACTATATATGGGTGTGATAATGACATCAAACCCATTGCTGTTAAGGTTAAATATGTTAAAGCATGTATAACACTTAATGCTTAGCAAACAGTAAGGGTTATTTATTTGTGCAGGTTAAGCATTCCTAACCAAAAATCAGAAACCCAAAATGCTTCAGAATTCAATACTTTTTGAGTGGCAGCGTGATAGCACAAATAGAAAATTCAACACCTGACTTCAACAGACACAGCACAGTATATATTTTTTCCAAAGTCTAAAAAAAAAAAAAAAATCCCAAAGCTGAAATACTACCAATTCTGAGCATTTCAACTTGTACTGCCTGTGAATTAGTTAATGTGAAGGAAGAATCCATTTATACCTGTCTCACACACACACACACACACACACAAACACACACACACGCGCACGCAAACTCGTTATATACAGCCACCTAAATTCTTTTGGGGGAATGAGTCAGAGTATCAGTGCAAAACAACTGAAAAATAAAACTTAGTTCATGTAGACTTTCTTTGTTCTATTGAGTGCTTTTTTTTTTTTTTTTTTAGAACTGGAATGATTACAGTCATCAGGCTTTTGTCTGTGACCATCTGTCAGATCTCCTTGAGCTGCTTTTAGATCCAGAACAACTCAGTGCATCATTTCATTCGACCCCTAGTAGTTCAGTCTCTCGAGAAGCTGTTGTGGCGCTCAGCTTTCTTATTGAAGGCACAGTGAGTAGAGCCGGAAGGATCTATCCACTCCACGAACTTGCACTGTGGCAACCACTACATGTAGACAGTGGCTTCTCAAAGATCTCTAAGACTTTCTCTTTCTACAAGCTGGAAGCCTGGTTGAGAGCCCATTTGACTGGGAATCCATATGGTACATCTGCTTGCTTCAAGTCAGGAAAGAAATTGGCTTGGGCTCACCAAGGTATTTTTTAATATTTTAGTCATTTAAATTGAATGACAAGGATCAGATTGTCTCCTGGTGTATTAAAGACCACATCTTCTGTAGAGGAGCTAAAAATAAAAACTACTGCCATTATAAAGGGAACTTCCATCCTTTCGGTATGACTTTCTGAATCAAGGCAGTAATAATCTCAGTTAATTTGTTAGTCAAGGTCCATTTAATTAGTTAACAGAAACTAGCTGCAGTTAGTCCTGCAGTCTTTGCTGTGCTTTTCTCTAATTCTGTTCTTCGTGTGCTCACTTATGTGAGATTTTATTTTTGCACAAGAGCAGAATTTGGCCATCCCACAGTTATAAGTTGGTGTAGAACTGAAATCTTCTTGAGCTACGTAGACACAAGCAAAGTAGTGTTTCTAAATTGAAATTTAAGTTTATAGTAGAATCCAGTGTTGGTTGTATCGGGTATACATTGCTGATAGTCCAGCAATGCCTAAATAGATAGGTTCAGGTGTTATATGACTCCTGTGTCCACCTGGCTATGCTACTGAGACAAACGCAGGCAAAATTAATGGAAAAAACCAAAATTGCCCTAGAATATACTTCCACTATCTCTGAATTTCAAAGCTAAATAGTCCCTTACAAACGTTAAAAAAAAAATCCAGTTTCATATCACATTTTCATAGCTCACAGAAAATGGTTGAATACCATCTATAGAATGTGGAGCAAAAAGATTGCAACCCAAGAATTCTATATTTAACTAAGCTGTTGCTACAGTAGAAGATCACAAATCCTCAGAGATGTAAGGTTCCTGTAAATAAATAGGAGTTACTGCATAATTCTTGATGCTCATAGAAGAACATAGGTTTAAGCAAGCTTTTGAACCATGGAAATGTGGGCATGAGTAGGGAAAAAAGGAAGGGTATCCAACCTCCTAGAATTATACTGAAATGGTAATTGTAATGGTAAGATTACACATGATTTTTGTATTCTTTTTTTACCATTATTTTTTCTACACTAAGCCTATGTGATGTATATGGCAGATATGTAATTTTAAAATAAGCACTAATTATTTTAAAAGATTTATAAAATATTTTCTATAACTTCTGCTCATTTGGCCAGCATTGTTTAAAAAGTGTCCTGATGGCTTACATGGAACTACAGTCGAGAAGCCAGTCACGTAAATGTTGGAACTGCATTAGTAGGGCAACCTGCACATATTTTATTGTGTCAGTTTGTGTGAGACACTGTATATAATAAAAAGATATCGCCGGGCATGGTGGCCCATGCCTGTAATCCCAGCATTTAGGAGGCAGAGGAAGGAGGATCACTGTGAGTTCGAGGCCAGCCTGGGCAACATAGTGAGTTCAGGGTCAGCCTGAGCTACAAAGAGAGACTCTGTCTCAAAAAGAAAAAAAAGATATGCTCTCAGGCAGAAATGATCCTAAGAGTAAGATACGAACTCACCAGAACTCATGGAATAATGTGTTAAGGAAATTTGGAGGAATACAGAATTAATATGGCAATTTAGAGAGGTTAATTATGGTTGGAATGATAAAGGCATCTTGGAGGAGATGTTTGAATTGGGCCAACTGTCACTTTCTAACCTAAGGCTTGAGCACATTACTTGAAAGGTAGACATGAAAAAATAACCTTAGACCTATGAACAATCTTGAATGGATTAATAGGTTTTAAATTTTTGTGTAACAAATGATGAAAGATGATAAATATACAGAAAAGAGTAGAGCTATATAGCCAACACCTCTTTACCCAGTGCCCCAATCTAAGTTTAGACATGGAACATGTAGACATGTATAACCTCATACGATTGGGTTTTTTTCTTTGATTTGAAACTATCTTACTTATTTATGCTTCCTTAAATAGTTGAAGGTACGACCAAAAGGGCTAAGATTGCTTGTAATACTCATGTGGCCCCTGGGGTGCACCGAATGGTGGTGATGAGCCAGGTTTGCAAGCAGACGTTGGCCAAGAGCTCAGATACTCTGGTGGGGGCGCATGTCAGGATTCATCGTTGCAGTGAATCTTTTATATATCTGCTCTCTCCCTTACGGTAAGCACAATCTTCTTTCTTGGTGTTCTTACAGTCTGACATGTTCTTTGGAGTAGGATTGATCCTTTTTTTGCCATCAGATAATATTTTAGGCAATTACTTTTTTAACTTACCCTTATTCAGAGGAATTTCCCTCATTTTTTAATTTTTCAGATCTGTGACAATCGAGAAGTGTAGGAATAGCACCTTTGTCTTGGGCCCTGTAGAGACTGTTCTTCACCTCCACTCGTGTGACAGTGTTAAAGTTATTGCAGTTTGCCATCGTTTGACCATCTCTTCTACAACAAGTTGCATCTTTCACGTTTTGACACCTGTGCGCCCACTTATTCTCTCTGGGAACCAGAGCGTAACTTTTGCTCCATTTCATACCCATTACCCAATGCTAGAGGACCATATGGCCAGGACAGGCCTTGCTACAGTGCCTAACTATTGGGATAATCCAATGGTCATCTGCAGAGACAACAGTGACTCAAATGTCTTCCAGCTCTTACCCCCCTGTGACTTCTATGTATTTATTATTCCTTTTGAAATGGAAGGGGACACAACAGAGATACCTGGGGGTCTTCCACCTGCATATCAGAAGGCACTGAATCAAAGAGAAGAGAATATCCAGATCTGGCAGAAAACTGTGAAGGAAGCTCATTTGACAAAGTGAGTGTTTTCTAGAAGTTTTATTTGAAACTCCATAGGAAAGCAAACTAATCTTAACATTTTCATAACTGTGACAAAGCAATTTAGAAATACTGTTTGTCTCTTAAGGCTTGCCTTTCAGGTGAGTATTTTAGACTCTAGTGGGATGGGAGATGGAAATGAGTAGGTACTTAACTATTAGACTCTATCACTCCTTTTCTTTTAAGAAGCTTAAGTTTGGGCCGGGGATTTGGCTCAGTGGTTCTGCCGCCTGCCTCGCAAGTGCAAGGTCCCAAGTTCGATCCCCAGTACCAAAAAAAAAAAAAAAAGCTCAAGTTTAGCTGGCAGATATGACTTAAATGAATTAAGGAATCATATATAGGATTTGCCACATAATCCAGTACTTACGTGAATTAGTTTTAGTCCTTAATTTACTTTTCTATACTATACTAGTATGTCTCAAGCTTGGTTGTACATCAGAATTTTCCAAGGAGCTTGTTAATACAGATTTCTATGGGTCCACCACACCCAGATTCAGAAGACATCAGTGAGATTGACACATAGGAAGATTCATGAGATTTAAAGGAGGGATGTAAGGGTGATATTTTAATAGTCTAGATTGCGGTGGCAAACCTATGGCACACAGGCCACAGTGGGCTGTTTGTATCATTGAAAGATCCAAAAGGTTCGCCTGTTACTGGTCTAGACTAAGAGTTGGCTGGACTAGAGTGGAGAGAAGGTAGATGGAGAGCAGAAATACTTTGACAGGAGGCAGGACTCAGTGCAAGATTTTGCAAAGAAGAAAGTCAAACATGAGTCCAAAAATTGGAGCCAAACTTAGAAAAATTTTGATTAATCAATTTTGTTCTGGCCTTACTATTATCTTCAATTTTAAATTAGTGGATTCTCAGAATAAGTATGTTTCTACAAATATGTTGTTTAATCAAATTTTGTTTTGTAGATACATTAGGAGAGGAAAATAGGAAGCATTACAGTACTGGGAGATGGAGGGTAGCTTCTTCTAAACCTTGTGCATTTGAAGACTAGGGCTAGTTTGAGTGAAGGGTAGAGGGTTCTTTTTGGGGATCTGAGTGTGTCACATGTCTTCATAATATCTTGATCATTCCAACCCTTTTCCTTAAAGCTTAAGAGAACGTCTTTCTGGTACTATATTGGTTATTTTCTGATTACCCTTATCTTGGAAAGTAGTAGCCATTCCAAAACTGTCTCTATTTCTGTTGATCCAGAACTGCCATTTGATATATGAATGAGAATGATTATTTTAATTAGATCTCTTTTGTTTTACTAGATTTTATGTTTACCATTATTCCTTGGAATGGCCGTGTCTGTCTTGTAGAGGGAAGTACTCAGACTCAGGAATTAACACATCATGCCACTTACTGTGTGACATTGAGTGTTATGTAACCTTTCCAGTTCTTAATCATAGTATATATAAAGAGTATATTTTCTGCCCAGTTAGTTGATATGAAAATTTTTTTTTTCCCTAATAAGTTTTTTTTTTTTCTTTTTTTTTTTGGTACCGGGGATTGAACTCGGGTCCTCATGCTTGCGCAGCAGGCGGTGAAACTACTGAGCTAAATCCCTGACCCTTTTCCCCATTAAGTTTATTGGTACATTTTAGGTATAAAATACAGTTACATACATCATTGAGATCTTGTACCATTACATGAGTATCTTGGTTCTCATTTTTTTTCCCCTTCCCCTGCCCTCCCTTCACCCCCTCCACCCTTCCCTATTAGCAAAGACTTTGTTTCCATTTTTTTCTTTTCTCATATTTTTTCTTTCCCTTCTTTCCTTTCCCCTAGCCCTCCCACTTCCCCTGCTCCTTTAGACCTTTACTTCCTATTACACAATATCAATTATACACTTTTAAAATTAAAATATCAAGACCTAGGAGACATTACCACAGATTTTACAGAATTTAAAAGGATATAGAAAACATATTACAAAAATCTGTTTTGAAATAAATTTGACAACTTCTAAGAAGTACCTTGGAAGACAAATTAATGAAACTAATTCTGGAGGAAATATAAAATTTGAATAGCACCTATTAAAGAAAGTATATTCCTAGCTTGAAAACCTACCTATATGACAACAATAGGCTTGTATACATTTTAGCTGATAAATTATATCAAACATTTAAGGCAGAAAATAAAAAGGAGCACTTCTCCCCTCATTTTAGGAAATCAACATTGTGCTAATCCTAAAACTGGATAAAGATAATGGAAGAAAAAAGTATGAACATGGATAGTAATTTGTTTAACAAAACAAACTATTAGAAGTCAGATCTGGCAGTATGTAGAAAGTGGTTTTATTGTAGGGATGACAGTGTTGGTTCAACATTGGAAGATCCACCCCCAAAAGTCATCATTTTAACAGAGGAAAGGAGGAAACCATATGATCCTGTCACTAGTTGGAGAAAAAGTATTAGACTAAATTCCACAGCTGTTCATGGTAAAAGCTATCAGGAGACTAGAAGTAGAACAGAACCTTCTCAACAGATTAAAGACATGTACTCCATACTTCCAGCAAGACCACCTTATATGAATGGAAAAGATGCAGTGCTTTCTCCTTAAAGTGGGGAGCAAGGGCAGATATGCTTACTCTTCATCTGTCCATTAAACTTTGAAACATAGGCCCAAACCAAAATAGTCTGGCAATAAAATGACACAATTAGGATAGGATTGGCAAGGTAGAAGCAAAACCTTTATATGTAGATGAAATGATCATCTACAGAGAAAATACTAAGAAATCTCTAGGAGCCCCTAGAACTTGTATTTGAATTTAGCAGGATGAGAAAACACAAGGTATATATAAAAATTCAGGTCTGTGTATACTTGCTATAAATGAAGAATTGGATATTGAAATTTAAAAGTTATGTAGGAGTACAAAGGACCTAGAAAAAAGTAAAAAGACAGAAACAACAACAACAAAAAAACAGTGTTGGAAAACATTTAGCACCCAATTTTAAGACTTCTAAAGCTACAGTAATCAACGCAGTGTTGGTGTAAGGAAAGACATATAGGTCTTTGGAATAAAACAGAGAATCTAGAAATAGAACCACACATATATGGCCCACTGAGTTTTGAAAGATTATTTAACATTAACATTTTATAGAATATAAACTCAATTCAAGAGCCGAGGAAAAGATAGTGTTTTCAGCAAACGGCACTAGAACACCTGGTATCTGTATATAAAAAATTAACCTCAGCCCTTTATTTCATACATAAAAATAACTTGAAGGGATCTATGAACCTTAATATGAAAGCCTAAAAGTATAAAACTTTAAGAAGAAATTATGAGGGAAAATATTTATGAATTCAGGGTAGGTAAGAACTACCTAGGATACAAAAAACATGATGTATAAAAGAAAAAAATTGATAAATGAGATTTCACCAAAATTTAGAACTTTAAACGACATCATTAAAATGAAAAGTAGTCCTAAAACAGACCATATTTACAATGCATATAACCTGTGACCAGAATATATAAAGAACTCTTACAGCTCATTGATAGACAACCCAATTAAAAAGTAGACATAAGAAGATGATAAATAGCGAGTACAGCACAAGGAAAGGTGTGCAACACTGAAATCAGAAAAATACTAATCAGTACAATAACAAGATTGAGTTATACATTCATTAGGGAGATGAAGTTAAAAGTTTTAAAAGCCTTGTCATTACTTTTTCTTTTTCTTTTTGTTGGATTCAATCTATTTATGATAGAAATATATTCATTGTGCTTCTGGCACCCGCGCAGCTCATCTTCTCTGCCCTAGAAGCGTGGAATGGCGGCGGGGGAGCCGCCTGCTGGGTGCTGGGCTCTACACTTTTATTTTATAAGGATATACTTGTGCCAACTGGGTCATCTTGATTTCATGTTCCGACTGGCCTCTTCTCTGGCTGAAACCTGCCTCTCTGGCTCAGGCATCATCCCCTGAAGACACCAGTTTATTGTTGTTCTTTTGAGGCTCTGACCTGATCTTCCCAAAGCCCAGAGGTCACCTCGGGCCAAGGACTTTCGTCCCGGGATCTCCACCATGTGCGGGGGAGGGAGGACTCGGCAGCAGCGGACGCAGATCCCAGTGATCCCCCACTGCCAGGGAAGAGGATTGGCGTGGCCCGCCTTGGGTCTGGGAAGCCACAGGTCATAACTGCTGCGGGAATGGACTCTGCTCCCAGAAGATGGATCCGCAACCCGCAAGAGCCTCCCATTTGATTTCCAGTGGGCCACAGGCTATCAGTTGATCTGAAAATTTAACAAGTAACCTGTAGTAGTAATGTATCTGTGTTTATTGGTATGTGCTGTAGTATGTTTATATAGTTAAACAATTGCATGTAGACTCTTTGAAACTGTTTCTACCTGGCAAAAGATATAAAGATCAGTAACAGTCACAACTCATGGTTTATCTGGAAGTCAACTGTCATAAAACTGCTATTATCTGTTACAAACATTCCCTTTTGTCTCTAGGAGATCGACCAAAACATTAATACTATGTAGACCAATCCTTCCCATTCTAGCCTGTCAGATAATCACAATGATGATGATAATGGGTAATACATACTGAGCACTTATAACGTGCCAAGTACTTGTCTATGCACCTTCTGTATACTGCCTTTCTTTTTCATGACAGTATCCTATTATAGATGAAGAGACTGGAGGGCTGAAAGATTAAGCATTTTATCCAAAGTTATATCTGGTTCCAGAGGTTCTAATGTCATTGTTCCCTTTCAACTATTGTTATATCATACAGTACAGTAGTAACATAATGTAATATAAAAATGAGTGCTCATTTTCAAAGCAATTCAGTTGTTTGACTATTTCTAATATTTAGATACCTAGATTATCTTACATATGTGTAAAGTTTACATAGATGTGTAGAGTCTAGAATGTGGGAGGACTTAATAAATGTTAACTGTGAATCAATGTTTTCAATCAGTAAGATCCATGATGGCACTTAGAAACAGTGAAAGTAGTCATTGTAACTTTGGGAATGCAGATGCTCCTCTATTTATGATAGAAATATATTCCAGTAAACCCATTGTGAGTTGAAAATATTGTAAGTCAAAAATGCGCTTAATACACCTAACCTGTTGAACATCATAGTTTAGTAACATAGTAGACTGTAGAGTATCTTTTAAGTTCAATCACATAAGTTGGGGAACATCTGTAGAGGAAGACAAACTGCCAAGATGATCCTGTAAAAGTGGATTGTGTCTTTTCCGTGCTTCTGACCCTCTACTGGCTTGCCATCTATATCAGTCACCTTCCTGTTGCTGGGTCAAAATACCTGACATACACAATTTAAAGGAGAAAATGTTTATTTGGCTTGTGGTTTCAGAGGTTTCAGTCCACAGTCAGCTGCCTCCAAGACAAACATCATGGGGAAGGGTGTGGTAGAGAAAAGCCACCACATCATGGCAGACAGGAAGCATGTAGAGCAGAACAAGAGCCAGAGAGGAAGGGGCCAAGGACTAGATATAATCTCCGAAGTCATGCCCCAGTGACCTATTTTCTCTAACTGGGCTCCACCTCTTGTTTTAGTCACTTAGCAGTAATGCCACCAGAATATGACATCCTCAGTGGATTAATCCGCTGAAGTTAGAGTCCTCACTATTCAATCACTCCCCAAAAGCCCATCAGCAACCAAGATGTTAATATAGGGAGCCTTTGGGGGGTGGGGCTTGGACCCCAGCTATAATACCATCATATTTGGAATAAAATCCAAAGCTTTACCCTCTCTGCCTCATTTTCTGTTCTTATTTGCCTTTTTCACTCTTTCTTACTAATATAGGACCTCCAGATGATGTAAGGAAATAATATAATTCCCAACCTGCTAGATGTCAGATATGCGGAATTTGTGTTCCCCAATGTCAAAGAATGAATTCTAAGGAACAACGGAGGTTAAGAGTAGAAAAACTTAGGAATGGGAATAAGCATGAGGAGCAGGGATAGCTCCTGAGCGACAAGAGGGGTCCCAAAAGTGAAACTAAAACTATTGCAAAGAGCAGGGCTCACTAGCCAGGAAAAGGTGGTGTTTGGTCATCTTCATGGTTTGGACCAGAACATTTAATTTTTCCTCTGGACGGAGATAGGATATGGAGTGTTCTTGTTCTTGCTTTCGTCTGTTGTTGTCCCACAGTGGCCTTGTCTGCCATTGGTGTTCTGTGGAATTGAGCTCAGCAGAACCCCTCAGCCAGCCCAGATCTCAGCTGCACCAAGGCCTCCTTGCTGACAACGTCAAGCTGACTCCTGGCTCTCAGGAGCTGCTCTTGTTTTTTGTATCTCAAACATGTTAAATGTGCTCTAATTTTGGAACCTTTGTAATTTCTCAGGTTCTACCAGGCAGTCTCCTCCAAATAATAATAATCACTCTGCCAAAATCTTAGTGAGGTCTTTTCTGTCCACTCTTTTTTTAAAAATAGCATTTCCAGTACTTAGCATTCTCTTACCCTGTTCTATTTTTCTCCAAGATACTTTGAGCTATTTGACTTTATATCATTATTTATTTTACTTCTTACCTGTCTTCCCTACTAAAGTATACATTTCACAGGACATAAACTACGTAGATGACTACATACATAGACTAATGCCCTGTGGGTACAGTGCCTACTTGTCCAGACAAGGACCTATTTCTTTTCTTTTCCTTATACATTTAGTCCATCAGTCAGAATATTACCTAGTATTCATTTGGACCTCAGTAAAATATCTGACAGTGAATAAGTCTTTACAGAGAAGACCTTGTATCTGACCAATTTTTTTTCTTTTGTGGTGTAGTCTACTGTAAAGTAGGCCAAATAAGAACAAAAGGGTAACTAGAAATAATGATTTAATGTTAGCCCATTAAAAGGTTACATAAGGACTTGGAGTTAATTTATATGAAGTAGTGCTCTCATATTCTTTTTGTTCTCCATTGAAATTTTAGGGATCAAAGGAAACAGTTCCAGGTACTTGTGGAGAACAAGTTTTATGAATGGTTGGTTAATACAGGACATCGCCAACAGTTGGACAGTCTTGTACCCGCTGCCATCGGCTCCAAACAAGCAGCAGGATAGGACTCCTACATCAGATCACTGGTAGGCATTTATAGTGCAGACTACTTGAAACAAATTCCCTCGGGGAACTCTTCCAAGTGTACAGAAATAATGCACACAGTATTATATTTCTAACTCTTGCCAAATTTCCCCACAGCTCCAACCAGCATAGATATTTACATACCCACATTCTCATACTTTATGGTGAGAAAACCAAAATATTAAGGTGGCGCGTGTAAAATTCTAGTCAAATATTAACAACCAAGTTTTTATCTTTTTTGCTATTTCCTTGGCACAAGTTGCAGTGATTTAAGATACTTTCCCCCGTGCATAGCTTTAATTTTGAAGCTGTCTCATTTATTATTTAGGCTATTTAGGCAGTATACTTATGTTGAAAATGGAAGTGAATTTTTCAATTGCTTTTTTAAAAAAGTAAATAGTAATTAATGAATTTACTGTTATACTCAAAATCATCTACGTTTAAGGTGAGAATCTTTGCCAATAGAAAGGCGCCGCTCCAAATTGTGAATGGTATTACGAAGAATTGCAATCTCTTTGTTTTTTTCTTCTTGAAGATGTTGAACCTTCCTTCTGTAGATACTCTGTGGGGAAATAGTAGCATCTGGATATGGTTTTGATTTAGTCTGAACTCTTGCTAGTTTGGCATCAAACTCCAGCTGTAGTTTGATTATTTCATTGTGCTTTTCTTTTTCTTGAGTTATTAACTTTGCATTTAACTCTGAGATTTCCATCTCCGTTTTCTTTATTAGATCTTTGTGCTTTTCTTCATTTAATTCAACTTTTTTCTCCATATCTTGATAAAGTTTGCTTATTTCTATCTTATGTTCTTCCTCTTTGATTTCTATTTCATGTACAAGTTTGGCAATATTGTTCTTATAGTCCTGTTTGTGAGATTTCAGCTTTTCCATTTCATATCAGCATTTCTTTTTAGTTGTTCATTTTCACCTCTCAAATTGTGTTGATATTCAGTGGTGTGTTGTAGCCCTTTAATCATATCATGAAGAGCAGCACATTCTTTTTTAATTGACACTTCCTTTGTTCGCATTACTTTTAATAAACAGGTACTCTTTTCCAACTGAATTTCCAGTATGTTATTTTTCCACTGGTTTCTATCATTTTCTTTTCTATCTGTGAAAAATCCTTTATAAGTTGGTCAGTATTCACACTGCTAATCTTTTTTTTACATTCTTCGCTACTTTGATCCATGCTTGAATTGCTGTTGTTCCTGGTTCCTCAAAGTCTCCCCCGCCTCAATTGACCATAGCTTTAATTTTGTTACCCCTTCCCGACATATCTTTCTTTTCCAACCCTCACTCACAAACCAGTTAATAAATGGGCTGTTCTTTATTAATTGTACATGAGAGATAATAAATTACTAGAATTAATTCATATGAAGATTTGATTACTGAATACCAGAAGGTCATAGATGGAATAGAACAAAATACAAATACAGACAAATTGAAAGTTTTTTTAATCCAAATGTATGCTGTTTTCAAACAAATACATTTACTTTGCTGCTTTAAGGTATTTTTAAAGAATAACAATAGAAAAACAAAGGACATGAATAGGTAGTTCATAGAAAAATACAGAGACAAGGATACTCATTTAAAAATAAAGAGATATAATAAACAAGTTGAGTATTCCTTATCTGAAATGCTTGGGACCAGATGTGTTTCAGGTTTCAGATTTTAGAATATCTCCATAGACTACCAGTTGAGCATCCTGTCTTGAGAATTCAAAATCCAAATGCTTCAAAGTCTGAAACCTTTTGAGCCTTGACACCTTGTAGGGCAGTTTGACAAAATCCTAATTTAAAACACAGATATTCCTTGACTTGACAATTTCACTTCTTAGACTTTATCTTACAGAGCACCCATGTATGTAAAGATCTGTTTTTTAATTTTATTTGCTTTTTAAATTGACAAAATTGTATCTATTTATCCTGTACAACATGTTTTGAGATGCAGTATATGCACATTGTGGAATGGCTAAATCAAGCACATTAATATGCATTATTTCACATGGTTGTCATTTTTGTGGTGAAAACACTTAAGATCTACTCTCTTAGCATTTCTCAACCATACTATAATAATCACATTGTACAATGGATCTCCTGAATTTATTTCTCTTGCCTACTATTTTGTATCATGTAAAATTCTACTTTTAAAAAGTGGTCATTGCAGCATTATTTGAAATAGCTATAGACTGGGAATGGGCCACATACTTCATGGGCTGGTGCCTAGTGAACTGGTTCATCTGTACTGTGGAATGTGTCTTTAAAAACAGTCAAGTATGTCTGTATTTGTGGATATTGAATGATCTCTAAATTCAGAAAAATTAATGTGTCTCCTCTGTTTGAAAAATGAGCCAGATTCTCATATATATATAACTTTAAAAGTTCATGAAAGAATATAAAGAAATTATAAGCAGTGTTCTCCAGGTGTCTAGAGTAGGAGAAAATATTTGTATTTTATTGAGATGTGATGCACATGACATAAAATTCACCTTTTTTGTTTGGTTGGGTTTTGGTTTTTTTGCGACAGGGTCTCACTCTGCAGTTCAGGCTGGCCTTGAGCTCACAGCGATCCTCCTGCCTCAGCTTCCCAAGTGCTGAGATTACAGGTGGGCGCTACCACACCCAACCTAAAATTCACCTTTTGAAAGTGAAGAATTCAGTATCCTTTAGTTTATTCACAAGTTTATGCAACCATCGCCATTTACAAGTCTGCAACATTTTCATAACCCCTAACATAACGTCCATAGACATTGGCAGTCATTCCCCATCCTCCAGCTCCCTGTGTCTCCTCTTATATCCAGGCCCTGACAACCAGTCATCAACTTTATCTATTCGGACATTTCATATAATCATATAACATGTGTGGCTTCTTCTATATAGCATAATGTTTTCAAAGCTCATCCATGTGTAGCATGTGTCAATACTTCATTCATTTTTATGGTGGGATAATATCCCACAGTAAGAATCTCCCACTTTGTTTATTCATTCATTAATGGAGGATTCTTGGGTTGTTTCTACTTTTTGGCTATTATAAATAATGCTGTTACATATATTTGTGTACAAGTTTTTGTATAGACATATGTTTTAATTTCATATAAGCATGCGCCTAGAAACAAAAGAGCAAAGACAGATGGTGAACTTTTTAAGAAACTACAATTTTAAAAAGTTAGGAAAAGATATTCTTTATTGTTTACTTTATATAGTGTTTTTATATATTACTTATTTTTTAAAGAATTTTATATTTAATAAATGCTGAAATTAAGAATCAGAAATCTGATAGTATACAAAAGAACTATAACAGGGTGCAGATGTTAGTTTAAATTAATCCCCATAGTCTGCCAAGTTTTTATGCCTATATATGAATTTCATCATAGAAGAGATGATGAACTAATGCGACACAAAAAAATTAACTTTAAACTTTATTTTGTCACTCTAAACTATCATCTGATCTTCATAATTTGCATGAATTTGTAAGTGTAGACATTTTATTATTTGCATCAGGGTTATAGAAAACTAAGTTATTGCTATTAATTTTTCTTCTGTCATTCTTAGGATCCTGGACACACAGGATGCGTGGAGGATGGTGCCCATTTAAAACTGCACTGGGAAGGCACGCCTACTGCTCAAGAGACCTGGGAACTTGTTGTGTATAAGACCGTCTGTTAGTTTCCATTCTACACTTAACTACTGTTTAGGTTGGGTTTAAGCTAAACTTCTGACTTTCATGTAAACATATGGTTGATACAACAATGGAAGATTCATATTTGTGAGGCAGGAATGAAAGGTTGATGAAGGCAGCCCCAGTATTTATTTACATATATATATATGTGTGCCAATATTTAAATGTTTATAGCCAGGCGTGGTGGCACATGCCTGTAATCCCAGCACTTGGGAGGCTGAGGCAACAGGATCGCTGTGAGTTTGTGGCCAGCCTGGGCTACATAGTGAGATGAGACCTTGTCTCAGAAAAGCCAAAAAAAAACAAAAAACATTGTAGATTTGCAATTTTACTTCATATTTTAACATGTATGATAGAAGAGTTTCATTCTTTCTGGAGTTGAAGAGTTTTGTAGTTCTTTATAACTATTTAAAAGGAAATTGTTACTCCTTTTAAGAAATAATTGGAAAAAAAGTATGATTTGTTGATACATAAATATAGCAAAAATAGTTTTATATAAGGGTATATTTGTTCTTAAGGTATGAAACTTAATGAACTTGTGTAGAAATTTTTATTTTTCATTTTCTGCTTTAAATTTCCAATAAACCAACTCTAAAAAGTAATTTTCTGCTTCTGCTAACAAAGATAAAGCTCTATTTTTAACTTAGGAAAAGTTTCTAATGTCATTGTGACATACTGAAGTAAAGTTTATATTTGATTAGAAAACTGTTTATTAAGATAAAACAATTTCAAATTGGTAAAGTGAATCTGATTGTTAATAAACATTATTTCATATGATTACTAGCCATTTAATTAGTAACTATCAAAAAGGACTGTTCTTAATTTGTAAAGTGAAAATCTGCAGAATGTTAATTCTAATTGAAATTTTTAGAATTTTTATTTTAAGATAAGTTCAAGCAAGCAGAGTATTATCAAATAAAGGGACACTGGAATAACAGAAGTGTGTTTTGGAAATTGCTTGTTAATGAAATGAATGATATTAATGAAATACTTCCTTTAAAGTTCATAAGATTCAGAAAACTAAACATATATCTTCATGTTTGTTTCTCAGTAATCTTCACATCAAGGCATGTTTGCTATTTTTTTAATTGACCATAATACATTCTGAAGGTATCTCATTTATAAAAATACTTTTTGGATAGTTTTGCTAGTAGAAAGATGAGGAAGTTGGGCTTTGGATATGAATATACTAGACCAGGAAAATAAAAATGGAGAACATTATTTCATTGAGTTTACATAAAAATGTCATCTCATTCCTAAAGTCTGAGTGTGTTAAGAACCAGAAGTGTTCTCTGCACAGGTCCCAGTATGGTACAGTCCAATTGAAAACTGTGGTGAATGTTTAAAGAAATGTATTACAGTAAGAAACACATTGCCTTTAACGTAACAGTTCTGGAACTTTCCCGAGTGTCTTTAGTTACACTGTGTGGCTGCCTCAGCATTCTGAATCAGTTCAAAACTGACCTTTCGTGGTCATTTTGACTTTGGAGAAGAACCAAAAGTTGCTCACTACCAGCTCTGGTGAATAAGAGGCATTGGGTGGCACTGTAATGTTTTTATGAGCCTGTCTTTCCATTGGACAGCACTCGGCAAGAGCATTCACTGTATTTTTTTCATCACATCTCACAAAGACACAAAAGAGGACTCCCAGAACGGGTTTAGAAAGTGGCAAGAATGATGGGATAAGTGTGGTCAATGTGAAGGGATTGGTGGCAGTGTGTCTTCTACCTTAATAAATTTTAAAAAATTTAAACATTCACTTCCTATTTTCATCACCCCTTATATTATGAAGGAGGGAAAGACCACCTTGTAACTGGCAAGTTCTGGAGTCTGACAGTAGTTTTCTGTCTCTCTGCATACAGTGGCATCCTTCTTGTGGATTAGAAGTCTTTCTAATATGCGTTTTGAAAAACATTCAAAGAACAGTTGCAAGAATTACTCATTTAATTCTTATGTACCTTCTGTGTAGATTCACCAGTTATTAACATTTTGCCTCATTCACATTACCACTTTCTACATAATATTGCTTTAACTTAACAAGTTGAGAATAGATTATAGACATCTTAAAGTTTTATTCCTAAATACTTTAGCCAGCCATCCCCACCCCCACCTGGTCATGCTACAGTGATAAAATTCAAAAAGTTAAACATTGCTACAACGGTAATATCTAATACAGTCCATGTTTTTTTCTGATTATCCCAAGAATGATCTTTGTAGTGACTTCACCCCCCCAGCACAACACCGTGCATTGCTTCCTGTTGTGTAACTTTTGTTGCTTTCAGAACATGTCACTTTTGTTCAGAAACAGAGAATGGTCTTATGACTCTTCTACCAGCTTTGCTGAAGAAAAAAAGACATTAGGGATTTCAGAGATTATTTGCTGGAGGAAAAACAAAACAAAACAAATTGCCCAGGGAAAAGAGAGACTTTTTATTTTTAAAACTTTGGCTGGATTTTGGTGTCTTGACTCAGCAAAGTCTATAATGCAGCAGGGCCTGGTAAGCATTAAAGGGGGTAGTGAAGCTTATTTTATTTCATAATCCCAGTTGTTTTTCTAGAAACCATCAATAGCCTCTAAATGACTGACTCAATTTTTGGATCCTAATCTCATGACTAAGCAAATGTTTGATTTGAAACCAGCCCAGTATAACTGTCTGTGTGCCTCTAACTCTCTGTAGCTATTCCTGTGTTTCTTTCAGCACCGGGGAAGTCAACTTCTCCACTAAAGATGTCTAAAACTGGAACCAAGGTAAGTAAGTAAGTGGTCATGCTGATTCTTTGCCTACTCTTCTTGCCTAATGATACATGGAGAAAAGCTTTTGCTTCTTTGCGGAGAGGTGAGTATGAGAGCGGAGTGATTAGAGGACTGGAATTGAGAGAGGAGATCAGGAAATGCTTGTTTTTTACTCTAGCAGAATTGCCAACCCTATTAAGAACTTTCCTTTATGTATGGTGCTGTGCCAAATATGGGATGGGCCAATAACATATAAATATCATCATGATTTCTCCTTCCAGCAGCTAATATTCTATGCATCTGCATAGGAATAGAACATGCTATTGAGGATTATGTGGGCAACAAAACATTTAGTAGTCAATTGCATTGTTTTGTAAAATTTATCCTCAGTTGTTAATGTTCCAAAAGGCTAAAGTGGATAGGCCAGTCAAACGAACTAAACTAGGACTCTCCTTTATTCAGTTAATCTTACTTTAACATTAAGAAAATTACATCTACAATATTTGACTGAAAATTGGCTGGGCTAGACATTGATCTCTCGGGGAAGGCTTTGAGAATGAGAAAATACACCTTCCTTTTCCTTTCAGCTCTCCCAGGAATCAGTGAGGCTAACACAAAACCATTGTCTAGCACTTGATCCCCCGCCCAACATTTTGCTTTGAAAATTTTCAAACTTAGTGAATCTTGAAAGAATAACAAATGGTCAGTGAATACTTGTATGTCTGGCACTTACGTTCTTCCGTTAACATTTTGCCGTATTTCATCTCTTTTTCGGTCTCTTTGCATTAAACCGTTTGAAACTAACAGTGGTCTATCTGCATTATACTTTTCCATTATGTATTTAGGTTTCTATCTCCAAAAAACAAAGTCATCCCCTGCATACACACCAGGTTTATCATGTCTCCCAGATTTAGCATCAGTCATATTCCTGATATCAAGCATAAATCAATATGATATCCAGACCATATTCAAATTTCTTCTTATTGTCCCTAGAAATGTGTATAATATAGGATCCCATCACATATGTATTGTACTTGGTTGTTATGTCCCTAGCCTCTTTTAAATTTTTCTCTTTTAGCTTCTTTAATTTCTACTTTTCTTCTTGTTTTTTGAGACAATAACATTTTTCAAACTCCAGGCCACGTAGGTGTATTGTACAACAGTATGCATCTAGATCTTTCTGATTATATCCTCATGTTTAGATTTAGACTAAACAACTTTGGCAAGAAAGCTACATAGGTAGGATTGTGCACATTTCAGTGCATCATGTTCAGAGGTGCCTGTTTTCCAAAATTGGCTAGTGCCTAAGTTTTCTTCCATTTAGCAAACAGAACTAAAAATCATGTTTATTATCAACAAAGTTTGGAGGGGAAAAGTAACACAGTATCTTTAGTACTCTGAGGTTCTAGATGCAATGAGAGTCCACTGAAAAAGAATTTGAAGTCCATGGAGGGATTTCCACATGTCTTGAGGAAGGTTGTTTCATAACCATCTTACACAGATGAAAACATCTGCTTTCAAAGATTTTCAGAGTAGTAATAGAGTGATCTTTTATTTCCCATAGCTGGGTTGTTCATTTAGTTAAGTAACTTGCTTGCTGCACCAAAGGAAATGATAAATTATTTCTTATTCTTTCCCCTGTCTTGCTAGCAGTTTAATCAAAGGAATTATGAGCCTGATGAAAGGAATGGATTTTATCAAGGTTGTTTTTGGGATATTCAAGACATTTTTCTTTCCGCTGTATTGGATTGGTAGGGTATTTTTCAAAATACAAACTTGAAACTCATAGAAATTATGGGAAAACCTATACATTTCTTAGACTCCTCTACAAAATTTTTTGCTGAAGAGCCAGAATTCTCAACCAACAATTGAAAGGGTAGATTTCTTGTTTCTTTAGAAAGAGAAGTTGAGGGCCACGGATTTAGCTCAGTGGTTCTGCTGCCTGCCTCACCAGCGCAAGGACCCGAGTTCGATCCCCGGTACCAAAACAAGGAAAAAGAAGTATGGCCGGGTATAGCATTCGCAGGCTCTGAAGTTTAGTGACTCACACTGAAAGAGGAGTTTAGTCCTGGAGCCCGGGAATGGTTCCGTGGCAGCACCACACGAGTGCTTCGTTTCTGTCTTGGGACGCTCGGCTAGTCTGCTGGGAGGGTGAACGCGGTGACCTTGCAGAACATCATGAACATTTTTGCTTCTCCATCTGGTGTCAAGCAGGCGTACTGAAAGCAGTAGATAGGAAACATGGGAATAAAGTAGCTGCTAACTTCAATTCTCAGGGCACATGCCTCGCAAACCCTCTTTTTTGGTCAATGTTGGTTGAAAACTAAAGGCAACTTGAATTAATTTGGGAACAAAGAACCTATCTGTTCTTAGAGCAGCTTCTTGATTTTCCTAAAGATATCATCTCCACAGTCACGGAAAAAGCCTTCCAGGCTCAGCACCAGTCCTGCTCAGTGTCTTAAGAATGTAAATGCTGCCGTGGAGAACTGAGCTAATAGTGCAAGTAGGAAGACACAAGGAAAATAAATCAACCAGATTAATAAACGGGAGTTTTGTACTCCCTTTCACTGACTTGTAACTGCTAGTGATCTTAGGCAAGTCACTTCACTTCTTCGCCTGTGACAGCTGTAGCAAAAGGTTATTGGCAATTATGAGTCAAGTATTCAACTGTGTGCTTAATCTGATTGGCTTCTCAGACCATCTCTTTGCAGTAGATTGTTACCTTATTTTGCACATGAAAACCATTAGAGACCTTCAGTGCCCTGCCCAAGGTCACATTGAGCTAGTAAGTAATGGTGCTGGGATTTTTTTCTTTATCCATAAATGAGGCATCTTCTGTGCTAAACAAATAAAGGAGAGAAAGGAGATGAAGTAGGTGATTCTAATAGGTGGGAAGGAAAATAAGGAAGCCTCTAGGGATTAGAAATAGAGAAATGGAAAGGGTAGGGAAAATTAAGGTGGAAGGAAATAATTATTAGTATGTTGCTGTCTGGAAAGAATTGCCCAGCATGGAAGAGAATACCCTTTGCAAGTCCTTTTTTCTTCATTCTCTGCATCAAATTAGTCGCCAAATCCTAAATTTCTTGTTTGTCTTCCCATTGCTTTTGCCTTCCATTTGACCTCACCATCTCTCACCACAATCATCTGTTTCCTACAACAAACCACTAATGTCCAGCTCCTGTATAAGGTCCAAAAAAATTCTAGCATGGCTCTTGAGTCATTTTTCTGGCTTTTCCACCTAATACTTCACCACGTATTCAATATGCACTAGATTTAATGAATTTAGTGTTCCTATAATGGGCCATGTTCTTACCTTTCTTTATTCTCGGAATGGGCATTTCCTTTCCATTGCCTGTGGAAAACATCTATTCAACCCTCAGCTCAAAGACAAAAAAAATCTGACTTCTGCTCCTTTTATCTACAAGGACTTGATTCTCATTTAGGTCAACACAGCAAATCATCCACAAGGTGGCGGCATACTGCCGGGAAATTACTTTCATGAAGCATGACCTGTGGTTTCAGTTTAAATTATAACCTAGCATAGATCATAGATTGTGGAATTATTGAGCAAGACTTAGGAAAAACTAGCCCATTTGTGGTTTTCATAATAGCTTTTAGGAACTATTTCAGGAATCCCTAGAAGTTCCTGTGACCTCTTTCCTACTTGGGAAGTCTCTAGTTTTCTTTCATAGCCAGGGCTCCAGTCTTTGTCAAATCATTTGACAGATTTGGGAAGCTGAAGCCTAGAAAGGTGACCAGACTAAGGTGGGTTGGATAGTGGAGAAGATGCTGTGGGGCCCAGGCCCATTATTCTTCGTTTCCCAGGGCTGCACACCTTGTTACTTCATCACAGGTACCTTGTTGGCAGTAAACTAGTACAGAACATTATATATTTTCATGAGTATGTATGGTCTATATCAACCTAAAATAAACTTTCTAAAACTAGCCTTTGCTTTTTCTCTGTGCATCTTCTGCATCACCTGGCATGAATTCCTGCATGTGAAAATTATTCATCTTCATCAAATATTTTTTGAGGACCTGTTGAATGCTGGCCATAGGAGGTCCATAGCTTAAATAAGGCTTGGTCCTTGCCTTTGGAAGAAGTCTAGTAGGATTCTGGTGGGAGGAATAGACATAAATATGCAGAGAGCTGTGAAAACATAAAGGATGAGCAGTGAACTTTGGTCTGAAACTGCTGGCTTGTACAGTGGTTCCTCCCTTCACAAACTCAGTTCTCTGCACGATTCTGGTCACAAACCAAACTGGACGAGAACCGAATCAAATTTCCCCGCAAGGTCAACATTGCACCTAACCATTGAATTTGATTCGGTTCTCATTCAACTCGGTTTGCAACCAGAATCATGGAAAGAACCCAGTGTATTAGAACAGTTCTGTTTTGCTTTATTTCAAGCCTTCAGAAAGTACTCATTCCTATTATTGACAACAAAAGCTGTCCGCCTGAAACCAAATGTGAGGTAGGATAAAACTATATATTCTCTCCTCAAAACTGAAAAAGGAGTTTCTACAGTGAGCAATACTTTTTTTAACATTTTATTTTATTTGTGAATAAACCTGCCCAACTCAGTTCTTCTGTTTACTTTCCTGTACTTCAGATCACTTTCTATGAAGACAAAAATTTTCAAGGCCGCCACTATGACTGTGGTTGCGACTGTGTGGATTTCCACTCATACCTAAGTCGCTGCAACTCCATTAGGGCGGAAGGGGCCACCTGGGCTGTGTATGAAAGGCCCCACTTTGCTGGGCACGTGTACATCTTACCTCAGGGCGAGTACCCTGAGTGTCAGCGCTGGATGGGCCTCAACGGCCGCCTGGGCTCCTGCAGAGCCGTCCCTCTGGTGAGTCTGGGGGCTTGTTTCTCTCTCCCCTCCCTCATCCCCCCTTGGAGTCTTCCTGTCCCTTCGTGAGTGGCTGACTTTTGTTGGCTGATGAAGCTTGAAAAACGATAATCTGAGGTCAGTTCATCACAAGACTGAATACACTAATTATTTCTATGATGTTTTCTCTACCTCTTGGGTATTTAGAGAAATTAGCTTTTTCTTATTGAAAGTCAGCTGCTTCAGTCAGTTCTCAGTAGGAATGGGAGTTCGGTGACTTTACTTCCAAGGTGGTAGGTTCTGAACCCTGATGTTCTGAGTTCTTGACCTGCTGGCGGTTCCGGTTCCCATAATGGTGGCTGTTCGTTTTCTCCTGTTTTTTTAGTCTAGCAGAGGCCAGTATAAGATTCAGATCTTTGAGAAAGGGGATTTTAATGGTCAGATGTATGAAACCACCGAAGATTGCCCTTCCATCGTGGAGCAATTTCACATGCGAGAGATCCACTCCTGTAAGGTGCTGGAGGGTGTCTGGATTTTCTATGAGCTACCCAACTACCGTGGCAGACAGTACCTCCTGGACAAGAAGGAATACCGCAAGCCCAGTGACTGGGGTGCAGGTTCACCTGCTGTCCAGTCCTTCCGCCGCATTGTGGAGTAATGACATGGATAAGGCCTAATGCTGAGGGCCGAATGCTCACTGGCCTTGTGGTACAAATAGGCATCATCAATAAAACAATTGGTTTGCATCCCACTGCCAACTACGGTGCCTCTTAAACGCTTCTAGGGACCAGCAGTGTAGTGCCTGCCACCATGGGTAGTTACAAAGTAACTTATCTATCAGATTACCAATCTAGATTTCTGTGCCAAAGAAAATGAGACTGCATTAAAAGGTTAGCAAACCATACTACTGTGTGGCGGTTCTTTTGCGTTTTACGTTAATTCAAAAAGGACAATAATATTAACTGCTATTTATCAAGTACCTATGTTATTCCATTTTTTTCTTCACAAGCTACCCTGTAAGAAAAGTGATTTATCTGCATTTTGCAGAGAAGGAAACTGAGACTTAGTGGAATCAGAAACCTGCCCAAGCTCACATGCTGGTTAATGGAAGATCTAGGATTTGGTCCGAGATATTTCTCCTCTTCAAAACCGTTGTTCTTTTCTCATTTCCATCTTGTTCATTCAACACATGTTGCCTGGAGATCCCTGTGCATACTTTAAATACAAGACCCTGAAGAATTTTAAATAAAAAGACTAAAAATAATTGAAAAATTTTAAATTTAACAGGATCCCTATGAAAATCTAATAGAAGAGACAGCATAGCTATTGAGAACAGAGTTATTACTTAGAATAATAGAGGCATGAGTCACCTCAAGTCCCCTGTTTAAGATTCAGAGATTCCTTGCCAATTGCTTCTCCGCCCTAAGTTCAGGTTTCCTGTGAAAAGAAAGGACATATTAAATGATCTCTTCTTTCCTTACGAGAGCTGAAATTGAGTCTTACCCAGTTTTGCTTAGAGTAACCCCTAAAGTTTTATTGATTTAACCATGGTGAAGAGGAAAGATGAAGAAAAGAGTAACAGTGAGAGTCTTGGTGAGTATTTGAGTGAACTTGAGGATGTGATTAATGCATACATCTTTAAAAGAGAGATGCAAAGTCCAAGTCTAGGATCTTTGCGCAAAAAAGGGCCAACAAGAATTGCCAACCTCCTTCCGTGTCCCTTCTTTCTCTTTGTTACCTTCCCCTGATTTTTGTCATTTCGTCTATTTCACTGACAAATGTGGGTGAAAGTGTGGAAGGGGAGACATGGTAAACCAAGAGAAAGAACAGGAAGCAGTGTGTTGAGCTGCGAAGCGCTCTGGCCCATGAGCTGACTGCAGCCATCGGCTCTGGCCTCCTCACCCTACCACGAAGCTGGCTCCCTGGTCTCCAAAGCAAGGGAGTCTCACCAAATTGTCCCCCCCAAACACATTTGAATGCTTTGGAGGCCAGAAAGAGCCCTGGAACAATTAGTCGTTGACCTAAGGCTACTGACACGTCTTCAGAAGTGCATCTTCTGAAGTGCATCTGACGTGATCTCAGATCCTGCCATTCATTTTCCACCTAGGAAGTGGTGGCTGTGGTGACTGTTTGTCTCTTCTCTCATATCAACTGTTACGATGCTCCTCGGGAGTCAGTCACAGTCTGTTCAAGACAACCAGAAAAGCAGCTCTGGCAGTAGGACAGGAAAACAAGGGTCAGGATGACTAGCCACAGTCTTAGAGATGTAGAAGATAGTTTCTGACAGATAAAAATGGAAGGATTTGGGTGTGTTGCGTTCTGCTTTATTCATGCCCTGATTCAGGAAGAGATTTCCATGGTTCTCCCCAGATGCACACACCAGTGAACTTGAACTTTAAAGGCATTTTACCAGCAATCGCTCTAGTGGTTGAAAACCTTCTCCATTGACCAATCCCAGGTCTTTTGGTAGAATATTCTGCCGTTGGAGCAGAAAGCTAGAGTCCCACCTATCAGCTACACCTAGAGCTGCACCTAGATTATTTCTTTAACTCTCTCTTCATTTTATTATTTTGTTGTTTTGAAATGGGGGAATCTCCAGAAAATAGGGCCAGGGCATATTTAAACCATTTTAATCTTATTTTCTTTCCAAACATTCCTCTGAGACAAGTCTCCGAATATTTCCCAAATATGGAGTTCACTTCCCAAAACACAGAATCAAGGGGTCCCACTTAACGACGCAGGGTAGAGCTGTCAGGTTAAATACAGAATGGATATATTGGGACATAAGTATAAATATAATGTAAGTTTATCCAAAGTGTTGCATGGGACATACACTAAGAAATTATCGTCTGTTTGTGTACAACTCTATCCTGTACTTACATTTGGACAACCTGGTAAGCCTAGTACTGTGTAAGAGCAAAGCAAGTTACACGTGAGTGACATGAGCTGAAATCCCAGAGGTGGTGTGGAGCATCATGTCCCATGAAAGGGCATTTAAAAAATACTGGGGTTTTTTGGTTTTAGATTTTGTTTGTTTGTCTGTTTTTTAACCAGAGATGAACCTAGTAGGGGCTTTGGACTGAGCTACATCTCCAGCCTTTTTAAATTTGATTTTGAGACACAGGGTTTCACTAAGTTGCCCAGGTGGGACTTGAAGTTGCGATCCTCCTGCCTCAGCCCTCCCCCCAGTGCTGGGATTACAGGCGTGCACCAATACACTTAGAATTTTATTATGTATATAATATATCTCATGTTATATATGTACTATTTAATACCGCAAGCCAACACAAGGTGTCTGCAGCTAGACATGGGCTATGGACCCCCAGTTTCAAATGCTGGCTAATAGGAGAGCTCTGATGATCACAGAATACTCCTCACATCGAGCCAACATCCACCCCGTAACTTTTCAGTCTGCAGTCCTAGTTTTGCTTTCCATCTAGTTCTTCATCCATGTGATAGCTCTGGAGATGTTTAAGGATTCTTTGGTTTTCCTCCATGCTCTCACTTCTGGGCTGAACAATTCCTATGCCTTCCATTGTTCCCTCTCGACACTGTTGCTCCGGGGCTCCTTCCCAACCTGGTGCCAACTCTGTGCCTCCCTTCTGTGTCAGTTGTGTGTCTCTCCCCGGCCCCCACCTTAGCTGTGCTCTGACCTAAGCACACTACACCTGGAGGATTGTGTTCGGTTCTTTCCTCCTCCTTTCTCAGATTTATACCATTCTCACCTAAGCCTGGCTCTCCTTGTGTGCTCCCACCGGCCCTGATATGGGACTAGCCACCTTTTCCTATGAACTTGCACTCCAGCTCAAAGGCTAGAAAGTTCCCTCCCTCCCTGGGAGTTAGAGATGGATTCAAACCCTGTCAACACATGTCAGCTCTAAGTCAATTTAATGTGGACAACTTCAATTTCCTGTAAGACAAAGACAGCATCTGCCTTGTGGGTATTAAAAGGAAATAACGTACGAAGAAATGTTCAGTTGAATCTTGTTATTTTCTTTAGCTATAAAGACACCATAAAGACTGAATAGCAAATGGTGAATTATTGCTCCTAGTACAGGCTTCTGCCAGCCTCTGGTCACATCTTTGTCAGCTGAGCAGTACTTCACGAGTGCTTTTGTTTAAGGACACTTTATTTAAATACGTTGTTGATTTGTTAATATGGAACTCACAGCCATCAGCACTAGAACTCACACTTGAAAGATTATTGACACGTACTTTCTCAGTGAAAGCACATCACAGCCTTTTCATGCTTTGGAACACTACCCAGCACACCAGCACTACATTTCGGGGCCATTTAAAATCATGAGGTCAATAAAAAACAAAGCAGTGCAGAGAATGTAGTGCACTAATAGACGTGACACACTCGTTTACAATGTGAGTTGAGAAGAAGACAGAGTGCCAGATGTGATGGCCCATGCCTGTACTCCCAGCTGCTTGGGAGGCCTATGCAGGAGGATCACAAGTTCAAGGCACCTTAGCAAGAGCCTGTCTCAAAAACAAAGCCAAAAACATAAAATTATTTTAAAAGGGGCTGGAGACATAGCTTAAGTGTTTTTCTCAGCACAGAAAAGAAGAAAATAAAGGAAAAGGAAAGGAGAAGAGAAGAGAAAAAAAGGAAAAGAATGAAAGAAAGCATAATGTTTGTTCCATCTCAGTTGAAAGCAAGTTCTGAAATTCTGAACTGAAATTTGGCACTGCCTTGCCTATATCCGCGAATGGCCTCAAAAGCACCACAGGTAGCGATTCAGGGCTTGCAAGTAGATTTTAGTGAGTTTACAAACATGGAATCTATGAAATAATGAAGATCGACTGGACTTTACCGCCCCGGTTACCATATTAGTACTATTTCTTAGTGCTAAAGTACCTCTATTACTAAGTTGCTTGCTTTTTTGTTTGCTTTTTATTTGGTTAGCCTTTTGTACTTCTTTCTATTCCCTAGTTGTTCACAAAAAAGTGTCTCTGCATCTTTGGCAGATGCTTCATGGTTGGGAAAAAATACACCAGAATGATCTAACTCATCTCACCACCTTGAAAATGAGCCATATTTTAATTGTCTCAGGAGTGTGGCATTCTCTTAGTGCTCACATAGCCTCTCCCCTGGTCCTACCTCCCATGGTTTCCAAAGCCAGCAGTGCTGTCTAGATTTCACCCAAATCCCCCCTTGGTTTCTAACCTCTACCTGTCCTTCCTCTTGGGGTCTTGGAGAAAATTCCTGGGCTCTGTTTCCAGCCTTTTGGCTGACCAGCCTCCGCACATGCAGCAGAGAAAGACCACTGTGGGTGTGACTTTAGTGCAAGGGCTCTGTCTGTCCACACACACACCACCTCCCTCTACCTCTTTACTCGAGCCTCAGCCTTCAAAATCAATTTCAGAACTCCAGAGGCTGGGTCTTCCCTGAACACTGTCATAATTTACTGAGACGGGGATTCCTTCAGTTTACGGATGAGCAACTGAGGCTCAAAAGAACAAAACAACCTGGCTAAAGACACCGGTTCCAAAGCTCTTGTCCTTTCCACTTTCCAGCTTCTGCTTCAGGGGATTGAACCCAGAGCCTTGCACACACCAGGCAAGTGCTCTGAGCAGACCTACATCTCCAGTTCCTGCTGCTCCGTCTTCAACAGTCAGAACCACAGGGCCTTGTCAGTCATAGCGTCTGCTATTTCTTTTTCAGTACAAACATTCCTTGTTTAATGACTGTTCAGACTTAGGACCTGTCTTTTTTTGGGGGGTGGTACAGTCTTTTGTGAATGACTTCTTAAGAAAATGTATTCAGGTTTCATCTATGTTGTAGCATCTGTCACTCCATTGCTTTTTGTGGTAAATACTATTCCATTGGAAGGAAAATACCTTGGTTTGTTCATCCATTCTTCACTTGATGGACATTTGAGTTGTTTCCACCTTCAG